AATAATTATTAAGAAATATATTTTATTATTTTACTTACCACTAAAAATAGAGGACTGATAAATTTCCAACAAAGTCTCCAAAATAAACCTGGTTTAAAACCTAACATTTCTTCAATATTGGCTGAAAATGAGTCCAAACCTGAAAAAAAATCCATAAAACAATTTAAATATTAAAAAATATAAAGAAAATGGAAGAAGTTAAATTTACAAAACTCGTCAGTAGTGTAACTAAAACCTGTATTGGGTGGTTGAGTTAAAACGTGAAAACCTACATTTACTCCTGTTCCACAAAACAGTGGTACACAGTGGTAAATGCAGCGCTGTTAGTAGTGCTGTGGATGAAGAGTAAACTCTTATATGCGTGTATATAAGTGCGTTTATCACATACAAATCTTCTTCCTGTACTTATTTCATTGTTCTTCATTTATTCATTTACATAGACAAGGAGGGATTCGGTCTCCTTGGACCCTCCCTAATTACACTACTGAAAATCGCATATTCAATTTGATAATTAAAGACTAATGAGATTCAATTCTGATTAAATTTATTGCTTGATATTTTAACTTGATATTTTGTAATTTTTATTCATCTAAAACTTCTCAATAATTTAGAATTAAGATTCCTTTCATTTTATAATTTATTTATTTTATATAGGCCTATATACTATAACAAACGTTACAAGTTAGGATCTATCGACAGATAATATACTTTTCTTGTTATGAAAATAAGACATTTTGGATTAAAGATATCTTATTATAAATCTGGTTTAAAACCTAACATTGATCAATTATTTGTGAATCCTAATCCAGCATAATGAAATTATATATGTTTATTTAGAAATAGAAAAATTTAGCTTAGATGGTAAGTGGTATTAACAATATACTTACCGTAAATCCAAGCTACTCCAATTGCTTCGAATAATGCTGAACACAATAAAGACACTCCTGCTGAATAGGTATCGAACCATTGTATTAAATAACCACCTCCCTACGAAGTTAGAAAGAAGAATAATATTTAATTCAAGTCCAAAACATTTGCCTTTAATTTAAACCTAATGATTTAAATTAAAAGTTTAATAGTTAGAATTTTTTCGACAAATTCGTTGACCCTAAGGAAAATTACAGAAGCTCAAATTCTCCAAGACCTAATAGCAAGTGACAAAGAGGAAATCTGAGAAGTTAATTCCTAGAAAGCAAGCGAAGTAAGAAAGAAACTACAAAGAAAAAAAATTGCATAGACAGAAAATAAAAATATTCGAAATCATTCTGACCTTTTAGAAAATATACTAAAAACTCCATACATAAAAATATGATTTTTCAAAATAATTAAAAGATACAAATAAATTACTATGCGAGATATATGAAATATATCAACTTATATAAAAAAATTAAATCTTCTAAGGTAATTTCTCATAGTTTTAATCCAGAGATAAATTATACTAATTTTGATTTAAATCTGATGAAAATTCTTTACTCGTTTGTTTCCCCCAGAAAGTGTACATTACAACGTCAATTTGACGTCATCTCCCCAGTTTTACAATGAACAAGTTGAAAAATGACGTCAAATTGACGTAAAAGTGTGCACTATCTCAACCGAAAGAAAAATTCTAATAAAACGATAGATTATACTTTAAAGATTCTAATTAATTAAGGAAACTAAACGATATTTACTTGTAATTTAAACAATAAATTTGCATTTTGTTTTTTATTAGAATTTTTAAATATTTTTAATGGAATTTAATAACGATCGATTTCTTAGAAGAAAAACGTAGTTTCTGTCGTAAACTTTCATTTTATACACAATCATTCAAAACGTACAAAGATCTAGTCACCTTTAAAAGACTGCTTAACGTATACATATATAGCTCAAAAGTCAGTTAACCACGCCTTCCTTTAAGCGTTCCAGTGTGTAATTGGAAACATTCTAGTAAAGTAAGTTTAGAATAATGTGTTTTCCTTTACGAAATTATAGAAGCATGGTTTTAAAAAATATATAATTAATTATCTCAGTGTTCGAGTAAGATAGAAATTTAATCTTCGTAAATTGGTTAACTAACTTTTGGGTCACCCTATGTATGTACAGTACAGTACTGTACGAAGCAAGTGGTATGATAGAGATATGATTTTTCAATGTTCTAAATATTGGCATGTTTGTGACTAATAATTTAATTTATCGTTGAAATCGACTGTTTAAGATGAATTTTATATAAAAAATTTATTTTACAATAATATTTTAGATGAGGAATCGGAGAATTTGTTGAACATGACAAGCAAATCGAATAAATGCGTTTGCCTTTATTTGTATTCATTCGACAAACAAACGCATTTATTTAACTCCAAATAAGATTAAATGGATAAAACTACGTTTAAGTAATCCTTACTTACCTTTTAAATGGATATACAAACTATATTTATAGACAAGAAGAATAACTGTAAATTATTCAAGTTTTTACGATGTTTGAAACTCGTAATCTTATGATCGATTAAAATTTTTCCAGTAGCATTTTGTTAAAAGAACTACACAAATAACGTGGTTTCTTTCATAAAATAACAGTAGTTAAGATACATTTTCTGATAAATATTATGTAAAAATCATCCTATGATNATATAATCGTAATCACACTTTGAATTTCAGACTCTGGAATCGTAATTATGATGAATCACAACAGCTTGATCATTTCAAAAAAATTTATATTTTTATTTTACATTATATCAAATTTATTTATTATGTTTTCATTTGCATTTCTTACAAATAAAATATAGCAAGTTCTGGATAAGCATTTTGTTTATCGTTCTAAGTATTTCGTCCACTCAAAATTAAATTTAAAATTCGATTATAATTTGAGTTAATTTCTTTATTGCTATTGTAATCAACATTCCTTATTCATCTATTTCTTTCTTCTGTTCTCTGGATTTAAATAAACAAAAGCCATTATCTGAAGTGATCCATCCATTGGGAGTGATCGCTTTAAACAATCAATTAGACTGGCGAAAAATTACGATCTCATTGAAATTTTCTTGGGAAAATCAAAGGTGAAGAAACACTATTTCCGTTTGCACTGATGGGAAATGACAGTGCTTTTAGCTGATGCTACAGTATTAAAGCAATTTAACGCTACTCGATATTTTATATCAACTTAATTAATACGATTCCAAATTTGTTAACTGTAAAATTTGTAATTTTTTTTCTTTTTTAGAAAAAAGTGCATTTCTACGTTAACAGTAATGAAATCTGAAATGAGGAATGTAAGTAAGAATATATTTCAAACGATGATTTTGGCACTTATTCAAGATTTAAATGAAGCTTTCTTCTCAATAAATAATAAAATATAACTTTATTATTATACAGTTATAAAAAATGTTGGAAATATAAAAATTTAACATGAAAAATAATGAAATATTAAGAAAAAATGCAAAATTTTTATCATTTTCTTACAATAATATAATAAATATTATCAATGATTATTTTTGTTTTATTTGGTGATATAGATTGAAACGTGTAGAAAGCGAATTGAAGATTGCAATGAATTGTAGGATGTACTGTACGCTTCAAAATTAACTTCAGTTTGCTAAAACCATAAATGGAAAGCACCCCCACATTAACTTATCCAATCAGACTTTAACTGGCAATGGAGAAAGATGCCTGGGAAAAAGGTGTCAGTTGTCTTATGCCATACCCAGTTCTCAAAGGTCTCGGGGTGCTGTTTGTGATTGTGCCGTGAAGAGGTTTGGTGTAAATCAATAACTCTGTCTATTGACTAGGATTATTCCAGAAGCTTGTAAGTATGTTTATCTTTAAAATTGTTTAGTTATTTGACTTCATTTTGAAAATAATTTTTCTTATATACACTACTTTGATTGCATTTGAAAGAAGCATTTTTTAAATAAATATCTAAGTCAGATTTAGCAAATTTTATATCTTTATTCCACGAAATTTCTTTCGTTTCTAATTAGCATCGATTAAACGAGATATTTTAATCAATTTGACTTTGCGAAATAATTTTTTATAATAAAAATCATCTTTTATATACATTTAATAAACGTAGACTTCTTCAATGTTCTTTTTGCAACCATTTCTTGTCATAATTTCCAATATAAAAATCTTTCCTCTTCCTCTTAAGCACTGAATTCGGAACGGTAGAACGTTTGCTGACGAAGCTCATTCATTAACTGTTTTTGCCAAAAATTAAGACGAAATGCAGACAGAACGAAAACATTTTTCTGGCTACAATTATCTTGTTAAACTAGACTTTGTTGATAGGATATATTTCATAATTCAAAGAGATTAATTAAAATGGCAACTCAACTGGTAATCTATTCCAGTTTAAGTGTCGAGAATACACTTGGCTGGATTGTTTAAGACACAAGTGAAGGAATGATTTTGCTTTTTACATTTCAACAACGACTTTCTTGTTTTTCGCGAACAGAAGTGTGCCGAAAATTTAGAAAAACTGGCATGGATGGCAGTGATTGATGCATCACAAAATAATAGAACGTTTAAAGATTTCATGCCAAATTCTTGTATATTATGCAGGATATTTGATAATCCACTATTTACTCAATGAAGTTTAACCGGTTATTTTTTATCACTGCTTTAAAAAACATTAGTAAAACGAATTAAATATTTATGCCTAGATGATTTAAAACTTATTTTTTAATTATCATTATTTTAATATTCTAGTTTAATGTTAAGATGAAAGCATATAAACATCTAAAATTGTTCTATTAAACTTTTATAGAACATCAAAAGCACATTTTAAAACTACTTAAATTTAATTTTATTTAGATAAATCTCTATAATTTTCAATGTATTTAAGGCAGAGATCTTAAAAAATTTAGCCAATGGAAATAAAACCTGCCAAACAAATTTTTGAACGTCACTCGAGAAGACTGAAACTAGTATATTTATTACATCCTTTTCGTTACACTATGTTTAGACGGCGACATCTAAAATTAACTTTTCAGCATTTGAAAAGAAACGCGTCGCCTTTTAAAAAAATTTAATGTTTTATGACAATGATGTCCGACATCTCCTAAAACACGTCTTTCCCTACTGAATGCAACTATATTTTTAACTGTTATATCTTTTAAAGAAAAATAATTTTAAAATATTTTAAAAGCAGTTGTCGAGTAAAAAAATGTCATCTTTAGTTCAGTCATTATATCATTTTTGTTGTTAAGTGATAGTAGTAGAGATGTTAACACAACAGAATTACAATTCATTGACCCGTTAACTGCTGAATGAAAGATATAAATAGGAATCTTGAATAGGTACAATCGTGACAAGATAACTCTGTAAGTTAACAATTCCAATTTAAAGAGAAAAATACTTAAGATAGGAGGGGAATATATCGAACGTTTAAAAATATCCGGCTTGTTGCCAAAATAAACAACTTGACTATATAATCCTGTTCACTTATTTGTTTCTCTGAATTTTTATTGTTTAAACCTTGCTCAGCGAAGTGGTATAAACGTCGTTCAAGTTGTATTGTTTATTTTCCCCCAATTTTAAGTTCTTTCTTCCTTCTCCAGCTATAACATTTCAGCAATAAAAACGGTTTAATATATAAATTTTTCAAATTCTTTATTCGTTTATTTTCAATAATTAACACGAGTTTATAAACAGAATTTTGGAAATCAATTGATAATTAACACAACTTATTTAATGTAATGTAAATAAGGATAGCAGGCAGAAAATATACTTTTATGAACTTTCTAAAAATCACTTGATACGTATTTCCCCCCTAATTCAGGAAATGAAAGGTTTCGACCTTTCATTTCCTGAATTAGGGAGAAAATATGATCTTAACATACCCGAAATATTCACATTTCAAAAAAGATGCATTCGAAAGCAAGACAATGATTTATCGTGGTATTAACTTAGCTTAACGGTGCAAACAGTGAAAAATAGGATCATTAACTTCAGGTTAAATGCGGTAAGAAACCAAGAGCGAGAGAAGAAAAAAATTGTTACAAATCCTCCCGGAAATGACATATCATAAACAAACTATAAATAGAATGTAACTCAGTGAACATGTATTTTGCAGTAATTTTTTTCTTCAAAAAAACTCATTCAGCTAGTATCAATTTTCCTCTTTTTAATTTCCCCTTTAGTTCATGGCTCACGACACAGACCTTGTAGCGACGTACTCTCGGAAAATATTAAGATATAATATTACCCGTTAGGAACTTAGCCATGATATACTTTAAAACTCAAAGTGTTTTAAAGCATCTAAACCACACCTTTACATGCCAAATATAGAGGACGACCAAAGTTTGAAGTATGTATGCCAACTGATACAATTTTCTCCATCCTGACGAATGATATCTATCTTTCTTATCGTTTCTACTCAGATTCGCTTAATAAAGATGTTTAACAGATGTTTTAAATTTATATATATAATTTTATCATATTCGTGGTTAAAATTTTATGCATTCACTTTATGTTAAAAATTTAATATTATAAAAGTAATTATCTTAGCATTGGTTTTTCCTTATAAAACTGACTGAAACAGTTTATTTTGCAATGTATAATACACCATAGAAATTTTACGTTACATTATAATTTAATAAAATTTAACTAAAAATATAGCTTAAAATGGTAACACAAAACTGTTATTTCAATCATATAAATCTATAAATATAGTTCTGAAAAACCATTAAAAAATAATCTATGTCTATTTTTATTAACATTTTTATGTTTTGCATGGTTATATTTATAAGAAAATTTAACAAGTTAATAAAAAAATAAATTATAGAATACTTATTAGTAACTATTATATAACTATATTAAATGTATATTATTCAATTAATTTCAGAACATTTTATAATTTTAAGAGCTAAATTTTTATTTAGTTATAACTTTATCATGTTTGAATATAATTTCATTATTTTAAGGGTTTACTGACTGGATATTTTCCTATTTCTATATCACACTGCTGCAATTTTAATCTATATATATAAATTCTGTAAAGTTATTAATATATCAACATAGTTCATCGATTTAGCTTTAAGTCTTCTGTTACAGGTCAACTTGGTAAAATGTCTGCCATTGCCGTTCAGTATAGAATATATGCTTGTATGAATTGTATAGATTAGTTTCCTAACTTACATAATTATCTTTATATCTACTTATATAAACTTAATAGATATTTGAGTTTATTGTATTCAGATATTTCTCATTCTAGTTTTATTGTGAGTCGAATTAATTTCCTAATAACTTTCCCAAATATTTACATTAATTTCATTTGGCTATCCTAAAAAAGTACTTCTGTACTTCTGTCATTATTCTATATAAGTTCATAAAGTGCGATTCGTTAGAAGCTAATATAATTTATCTTAGTTTAGTTGGCCAAAATACTATGTAGTCGTATTATAATGGCCTGCAGAAATGCAAATTTATAATTTAGTTCTTTTGAAATTCATTTAAAAGGTTTTAATCCACAGATAATAGAGTAAATTAATGAAAATAATCAATAGAATCGACACTTTTGCAAAATTTATACATCTGCAATGAAATTTTTTCAGTTTAAATTACATAATTAAAGTGTTTATTCGTGACTTATAAGTAATTTTTAAAAGTATATTCGATACAGTTTAAGTCACTGGAACAAAATTTTGGAATATTTCCAAATATAAAATTTTTAAATTTAATATATTATTGGAAAGATTTCAATTTAAACATAGGATGTTAAAAAAATGAGAAATATTGATAATTTATAATTGATTGATTCGAGAATCAATTAATGATGATGAATTTTAATGCCTTTACTCTAATCCGTTTAAAACTTGGCATAGACGTGACTGGTGTCAAATTTGCAATTCTCTGCTATATATTTCGATACTAGATGACAAGAGCGTCTAGGAATGTTTCTCGGGTCACCTTGAATGAATCGAGTAATTTCTCTATTTTATAGATAAATTACTAAGATATTGCCCCTCTATATAGCATTTACAGATAAATTACTAAGATATTCTCCCTCTATATAGAATATAAATTATAAAACAAGTAAATGTAGTTCCTTATTTTCTTACTTTTGGATTTTTATGTTGATGGAAATTACTTCTCTACATCAAATATGATTTATAATCATTTTTCTTCTTTATTTAAAAATACATTTTTATTAAGGTGTTTAAACTACTGTAATGTAAAGCGGTGTTATGAATGTATTATAATTTAAAGAGTCCATGTGATTGCTGCTAAATAAGGCTAAGAAATCTGTTTTCGGTATCAGTTCAGGCGAGAAAAGGAACATCTGGATAACTTATATGATGAGCATAAATCACCCGAGTAAACATTTATCACTTCAAGTGATGATCCACGATACGCGACATTGTCAACTTTGCCAGAGAACTTCTAGATTACCGAGAACGTGATGAATGATTATTGATTGCCTTTAATCGAATTTCAAACATTTTAAACTACAATTATTCTAAGCATATTAAATAGAATACTTTAAAATATTATTTTTAAGCTTTAAATGTAGCATGTTACCAGAAATAATTAAGGTTATTTCTATAAATCAATTAATGAGTGGATTATTATCTTTAGAAAGTACATTATTTAAATTGAAAACCTAAAATGAAATTACCTATTTTCTATAAAAGTTAAATGAAGTTTGGTTACATTTAAAAATTATAATAACGTATTTTAATCTCCTATTAAGTTATAAGTATTAAAATAGGACAAGAAATAAGACGAGAAATTTGGATGAAAAAACATCCATATTTTAAGAAAGAATCCAAGTAATTTTGATAAAAATCACAAAAATTTGGAAAAGTTTTCCTACTACCAAATAAGACTAGTTTTTTTATATATAAAATATAAAAGTCAACTGATATCCAAAACCGCATTTTTTTTCTTATATAAACACATTCCAAAGGTTGTTAATTAGTTTTTAAAACCTGGATGGTATGTCAAATTTAAAGTGAAATCAGAAAAAATCTTCCTCGTTTGAAACCGTAGATATTTTTTTTAAAAGATTCTTCTTTTGGAACCAATCCGTCATCTTGTCATTCATGAACCAATATTCGTATTTTTCGTTATATGACACCCACATTCACTAGTAAGCATTACCGTAGATAGAATGTCAAATTGGTTGCCAAATGATATTTCGTGCTAATGGCGATTCATACGATCTGTGTCGAAACACTAATTTCTAAAATACGCGAAATAGAATTTCCTAAAGAAGAATCATCTTTATTAGTTCTACTTAGAAATGAATCTTGGCAAAGTTTAGTAAATATTCTTCTTTTTTTTTTACCTCATACTTAAATACAGATTGATTCACTTCGTTCAAGTGACTTACTTAAAGTGCCATAATTTGTAAAAGGTTTATTAAATATTGTAATTTCCTTCGAAAATTTACAAATTTGCAAGCTGTTTATGTACTTATAAACGTGAAACGTCGTAAATTATTTTGTTTTTATTCTCTAGTACCATTCTAAATAGTCATATATACATAAAAATTAGTTTTAACAGCTAAAATACTTATTGAAATATTAATACAGCGAGGTATAATTACGTGATTTACGAAATATTAAGTTTCGAATTAATTTTAGAATTTTTTTCAGCATATAAAATTGATTATAAACTATAAATATATATAAAATGTGCTAAATTATTTATATAAGGATATTTGAGTGCGTGGACTGAGAACGTCTTGTTCTGGCGAATATTTATAAGAAAATTGCTGAATCTTGATAAAATAAATATATTTTGAATGAAGAAAAAATAAACTTTCGAGCGCTTATACCTTAACATTAAAAGTTTATTTTATTAAGATTAATGTATTTTTAAAGCATTATATCTATGATAATTTAATTTATATTTTCTACTTTAAAGGTTAAAATGCCATCGAAGAAATCGGATAAACCAATTATAACGGACAATAGGGATGGCACAGTTAGTATTAAGTACGATCCTAAAGTAGAAGGTGTTCACGAACTCCACATCAAGTATAATCACGAACATGTACAAGGTAAATTTTTCTATATATAATAATAATTAATGTAAAAACAGCACGTTAATTAATTTAAATGTCATTTAGTCGTAAAATTAAAGATTTATTTCGACAACGGGAAACACGGCATCGGATTAAAGTTAAAATTCCAACATGTCATTGTTTATATTTAACGAAAGCGGTTAGCTGTAAAGATATTTGTTTTTTATTCTACAAAGAGAAACAGTCCTTTGTTCTATTTGGCAAGGACGATTAATTCTTGTCTTGTTTCCGTCTTTATAACTTCGTTCTTTTGTTGCCGTGCTTAATCTTACGACTGTTTACCGTTCTAAAATGTGAATGAAAGCGTCTAAAAGATACTCCAGAAGATACAAATGATAAAGCAAAAAGATACTAATTTATAAAACAAAGATATTTTCGCGTAGCAAAGTATATAATTTTAAATTTCTCATTATAAAGTTTTCAATATTTGCACATATTTACAGGAAGTCCTTATAAATTTCACATCGACAATATTTCTTCCGGTTACGTCACCGCTTGTGGCGAAGGCCTGGCACGTGGTAATGCTGGAGATCCCTGTAATTTTATCGTTTATACAAGAGGGGGTAGTAAGTAAAATATTTTCTTATTAAATGAGTTTAAATAAAAATATATATACTGAAATTTTGTATTCATTTCATTTCCTATAGCCAATTTATCGGTTTACGTCGATGGACCTACAAAATCAGAGGTTAATTGTCACGATAATAAAGACGGAAGCGTCAGCGTGTCTTACATACCTCCGGCTCCAGGAGAATATAAAGTATCTGTGAAATTTGATGGAAAACATATCAAGGACAGTCCGTTCACAGTTAAAATTGCAGGTCGGTAAAAATAGAAATTAAGAAAATTGCGTAATCTTCTCTAGAGCATTAGAATCAAATTTTAACAACAGTTTAATCCAATTTTATTCTAGAATAGCCTTTGACATTTTACAATGTGTAATCGCGCTCAAACAAACACTTTATTTATTTACATTACACTTACATCCATAAATTTTTAACTTTTTAGCTGAATTTTCTTAATATATTTAAATAATATAACCTGCTTATATAAAAAATACAGTTTAACTTATATTTATTTATTAAAATTGTAATTAATAATTTTATTTATTTTTTCTCTTTAATACTTAATCCTTTAAACAACTGCATAATTTGATATCCCCAATGTAAATCTAAATTATCAAACATGTCATAAATTATTTTTTACACTATTAATAGATAATTAAACGTTTTATGTCCAATTAAAGTTTGAATTGAAAGAATACATTTTGATTGTTAATTAAAAATTGAAATTTTAAACTGAATATTTTTTTCAATTATAAGTTCATGAATTTTTAAATTATAACATTTTGACGCTTTCAAAATTTCGTAAACATTTAAAATACATTTTGTACAATAATTTAAGTCTTTAGAATAAGAAACTTGATAATTTCTATTTATGTTATTTACAAAATATAAACGAATACAGTATTATCCATTTTATATATATAATAAACAATTCGTAAGTTCCAATAGGCAATGTAAAATTTGAAGTAAATTCGAATTTAAATATAAATGACTGTCTTAACTACGTTGATAAGAATGTGATTTGTCCGTCATTTACACAAATTTCTACCTACGTTTAGCAGAATAGAAGAAGCTCCTTTATTTTGAAATGTCTGGTATAAAAGCAAAAATCAAGTTTCCGCATTTAGAATAATGGAAATCGAAGTTTAATACTAATTTTTAATTTTCTGAATATTATCAATATTTTGAATATATAATTAATTTGTTCTTACTGAATATGAGCTTATACATGATGGATGTCCATGGATGGATGCCATCCATGATGAATGGGGTGGCACGCCATCGTACCGGTAAATCTGCCGTAATTGTGTCAATGGCAAATCATCGAACTATTCGTCCACCGCCGTGTTAGGACTATACACATATCGGTCACTATTCGGGGTACCGTCAATGAATACCGGACCGAGAAGCTGCTCATCTCAATTCCCGCACCAAACGCTTACGGTAAAACGTACTCAATGTCGCATGCGTGTTCGAAAATGTACTGCTCAGTGGCGCAGATGGTGACGATTCCCATCAAATATGCCGAAGGAGTGGTTCGTCGTGCTATAAATTTAACGTCATGTTCCACCACTCAAATCGCTGTGCTGAATCTCCTGCATGTTGTGGTTGCAGATGGCGGTGCATGTTATGGAGACCTAATATTCTCCGTATTTGTATTAGCTACAGTCCACAACCTAACCCACTGTTTTCAGCCTTTCTTTCATAGTTGCGACCTGCTTCTTTATTAGGATTATTGCACTTTTCGTATATTTAGTAATATACGTAAGAAATGTTATGGCACTGCTCACCACTAAATTTCATTGTACCCGGATGAAAACCACTGACTTAACTTACTCTAACCAATGCTGGAAATATCTCTTTTGCCTCTGGATAAAACTCATGTTTAAGTGTCACCCTATACACTCATTATAAACTTTGTTTTATTCGCTGATTTTGTCCTTGTTTTATATTAATAAAAAAGCATAATTATTTTATGCTTTTTATTGTATTTATTTATTTCAGAAAGAGCGTGCATGACCTTTGTTCGTTTTGCTCATCTCTATGCCAGTCGTGAGCAACCCATGGACCCGCGAGGTCTTAATACGCAGGTCCAGGGCTTCGTCAACGCAAATTTATTTTCTAGTTTTCTGCTTCGTGCCATTACGCAACCCTAATTCGACGGTCAGAGGGCAAAAGGGCATAAGTAACTTTTTATCGATTATGAGTTTATTGAAGTTAAGTCGTCACTAAATATAATGTACTTTTATGTTTATCACAGTAACGTCCTAGACAAAATAATTTCCATCATTTTCATATGCATAAACAAAAAAAAACAACATAATATTATTCTAAAATGTGAACTATAAAGTTATTTTTAGTTTCTGAAAATATATTGATATTTTTGACTTATAACCTTTTACCCTCTGACCCTCTAATATTCATAACGAAGAACATTGAAACTAAACTTGACCAGTAAAAAGATAAGAATAAACTACTGGTATATATTACAGTACTAGTGTGCATACCATTAGCATATTAGCATTTTAGTATATAGCCTACTGGCGATTAGGGAATATATTGTTATTCAACAGGCCTGCAACTCCATAAGAAAAAATTTATGCGGCTCTCATCCCGAAAAGATTGCTCATCACTGCCTTACATCGTGGCAAAAGGCATCATATGATGCGTAGCGCAGCTATCTTACGAGAAACAAACAAAAAAAGAACCAATAGCACTATTCGATTATATTATTATTTATTATATTTACAGTATTAATATATGCCAATAATATTTAAAATTAATTGTAGCAACGACAGAACATTAAATAAAAACAATAAATTGTCTCGTTTACAAAAAATAATAGTAAAATTGCATAGAATCTGTATGGATAATGAGGTATTAAAGTTTTATTTCAAAATATTTTAAATATTTATGTATTTATATTTATAAATTTTACAATTAAAATTTCACAAGTGTTTGAAAGTTATTTCATTTGTTTTTCACATATGCTAAAAAATAATCCATAACATTTAGTAATATTGCAAGTCTTTAAACTCTCGTCAGAACACATCAATACTCTAGATTTAAAATGCATGATTCATTTTAAGTGGGAGGGCCAAATTACGTGACTTTCCACTAGAATAGAAATGAGTATGAACGTCTAAAAAAGTTTGTGGAAAGGGAAAAATGCATAACTTAGCGAATTCCATCTATAGAAATGGTGCCAAGATTGAAGTTAGTGAAGAGAAGAAGCAGTTTTACTACCGTAGATTCAAGAAAATGGCTTTCAAAATGTTTTTTCCATTTTTTTAACTATGTTGCTTCCTGGCTACACTGTGCATTACATTACAGATTCCATTCCGAAACAGTTCTCAACTATTTCTCGGTCTTTTACAGCTGCTTATAATGTCGTAAAACTATATTTAAAGTTTAGACTGCCTAAATTGTTATATATAATTAGAAATTTAAAATGTTTTTATAAGAACTTGATTAAAAAAGAAGATAATAAATTTTTAGGTGAAGGACGAAAACGAAGTCAAGTATCCGTTATGCATTCCAGTGAAGTGTCGATTAATTGTACCGAAAAAGATTTAAAGACTTTAAATGCGAGTATTGTCGCACCTTCGGGATTGGAAGAACCTTGTTTTTTAAAAAGAATGAAAGATGGATTAGTTGGTGAGTGCATTTATTCATTTGCTTTTCACTAATATTTTAAATCAATTTAACTAAATATGACGCATTGAATATGGACTAGTGATTATTTAGAACACTTCAAAACACATCAATTCAAATTTTATTCACAACTTTATACATAAAAAGTAATACTTACCATATTACCACATTTAATATTTACCATTTTCTGGAAGAATCTTCGAAAAATTCTTCTTTATCGTTTATTAAACTGATATAAGTTCACGCTTTCTTTTAAGGAGAATAATTATAGGATATTCTGTATTTCTGTAATTATCAGATGTTTTAAGAAGAAATACTATGAATGAAACTGATAAAATTTAGTTTGTATTAACAGATTTTTCATTCTGAATATCTTCATTCAAAAATCAAAAGAAAGAGAAAATGGTTGGCAGAAGTGTTTTTAGTATTTGCCAAGGTCTTTTCCCTTTCTCAGATCTATCATTTCTGCCTCCTAAACAAAACCAATTTAGAGTGTAGAAATTTATTAAGTATGTTTCGTATTCGGACGGGTATATAATATATTTAGAATCTTATTAAAAAAAATGAATAATTTTTATTGCATCTCTTCATGAATCTTCTAAAATTACATAACGTATTCATCATGATTAGTTTAAAAAATTAAAATTTANCACACTGCTGCAATTTTAATCTATATATATAAATTCTGTAAAGTTATTAATATATCAACATAGTTCATCGATTTAGCTTTAAGTCTTCTGTTACAGGTCAACTTGGTAAAATGTCTGCCATTGCCGTTCAGTATAGAATATATGCTTGTATGAATTGTATAGATTAGTTTCCTAACTTACATAATTATCTTTATATCTACTTATATAAACTTAATAGATATTTGAGTTTATTGTATTCAGATATTTCTCATTCTAGTTTTATTGTGAGTCGAATTAATTTCCTAATAACTTTCCCAAATATTTACATTAATTTCATTTGGCTATCCTAAAAAAGTACTTCTGTACTTCTGTCATTATTCTATATAAGTTCATAAAGTGCGATTCGTTAGAAGCTAATATAATTTATCTTAGTTTAGTTGGCCAAAATACTATGTAGTCGTATTATAATGGCCTGCAGAAATGCAAATTTATAATTTAGTTCTTTTGAAATTCATTTAAAAGGTTTTAATCCACAGATAATAGAGTAAATTAATGAAAATAATCAATAGAATCGACACTTTTGCAAAATTTATACATCTGCAATGAAATTTTTTCAGTTTAAATTACATAATTAAAGTGTTTATTCGTGACTTATAAGTAATTTTTAAAAGTATATTCGATACAGTTTAAGTCACTGGAACAAAATTTTGGAATATTTCCAAATATAAAATTTTTAAATTTAATATATTATTGGAAAGATTTCAATTTAAACATAGGATGTTAAAAAAATGAGAAATATTGATAATTTATAATTGATTGATTCGAGAATCAATTAATGATGATGAATTTTAATGCCTTTACTCTAATCCGTTTAAAACTTGGCATAGACGTGACTGGTGTCAAATTTGCAATTCTCTGCTATATATTTCGATACTAGATGACAAGAGCGTCTAGGAATGTTTCTCGGGTCACCTTGAATGAATCGAGTAATTTCTCTATTTTATAGATAAATTACTAAGATATTGCCCCTCTATATAGCATTTACAGATAAATTACTAAGATATTCTCCCTCTATATAGAATATAAATTATAAAACAAGTAAATGTAGTTCCTTATTTTCTTACTTTTGGATTTTTATGTTGATGGAAATTACTTCTCTACATCAAATATGATTTATAATCATTTTTCTTCTTTATTTAAAAATACATTTTTATTAAGGTGTTTAAACTACTGTAATGTAAAGCGGTGTTATGAATGTATTATAATTTAAAGAGTCCATGTGATTGCTGCTAAATAAGGCTAAGAAATCTGTTTTCGGTATCAGTTCAGGCGAGAAAAGGAACATCTGGATAACTTATATGATGAGCATAAATCACCCGAGTAAACATTTATCACTTCAAGTGATGATCCACGATACGCGACATTGTCAACTTTGCCAGAGAACTTCTAGATTACCGAGAACGTGATGAATGATTATTGATTGCCTTTAATCGAATTTCAAACATTTTAAACTACAATTATTCTAAGCATATTAAATAGAATACTTTAAAATATTATTTTTAAGCTTTAAATGTAGCATGTTACCAGAAATAATTAAGGTTATTTCTATAAATCAATTAATGAGTGGATTATTATCTTTAGAAAGTACATTATTTAAATTGAAAACCTAAAATGAAATTACCTATTTTCTATAAAAGTTAAATGAAGTTTGGTTACATTTAAAAATTATAATAACGTATTTTAATCTCCTATTAAGTTATAAGTATTAAAATAGGACAAGAAATAAGACGAGAAATTTGGATGAAAAAACATCCATATTTTAAGAAAGAATCCAAGTAATTTTGATAAAAATCACAAAAATTTGGAAAAGTTTTCCTACTACCAAATAAGACTAGTTTTTTTATATATAAAATATAAAAGTCAACTGATATCCAAAACCGCATTTTTTTTCTTATATAAACACATTCCAAAGGTTGTTAATTAGTTTTTAAAACCTGGATGGTATGTCAAATTTAAAGTGAAATCAGAAAAAATCTTCCTCGTTTGAAACCGTAGATATTTTTTTTAAAAGATTCTTCTTTTGGAACCAATCCGTCATCTTGTCATTCATGAACCAATATTCGTATTTTTCGTTATATGACACCCACATTCACTAGTAAGCATTACCGTAGATAGAATGTCAAATTGGTTGCCAAATGATATTTCGTGCTAATGGCGATTCATACGATCTGTGTCGAAACACTAATTTCTAAAATACGCGAAATAGAATTTCCTAAAGAAGAATCATCTTTATTAGTTCTACTTAGAAATGAATCTTGGCAAAGTTTAGTAAATATTCTTCTTTTTTTTTTACCTCATACTTAAATACAGATTGATTCACTTCGTTCAAGTGACTTACTTAAAGTGCCATAATTTGTAAAAGGTTTATTAAATATTGTAATTTCCTTCGAAAATTTACAAATTTGCAAGCTGTTTATGTACTTATAAACGTGAAACGTCGTAAATTATTTTGTTTTTATTCTCTAGTACCATTCTAAATAGTCATATATACATAAAAATTAGTTTTAACAGCTAAAATACTTATTGAAATATTAATACAGCGAGGTATAATTACGTGATTTACGAAATATTAAGTTTCGAATTAATTTTAGAATTTTTTTCAGCATATAAAATTGATTATAAACTATAAATATATATAAAATGTGCTAAATTATTTATATAAGGATATTTGAGTGCGTGGACTGAGAACGTCTTGTTCTGGCGAATATTTATAAGAAAATTGCTGAATCTTGATAAAATAAATATATTTTGAATGAAGAAAAAATAAACTTTCGAGCGCTTATACCTTAACATTAAAAGTTTATTTTATTAAGATTAATGTATTTTTAAAGCATTATATCTATGATAATTTAATTTATATTTTCTACTTTAAAGGTTAAAATGCCATCGAAGAAATCGGATAAACCAATTATAACGGACAATAGGGATGGCACAGTTAGTATTAAGTACGATCCTAAAGTAGAAGGTGTTCACGAACTCCACATCAAGTATAATCACGAACATGTACAAGGTAAATTTTTCTATATATAATAATAATTAATGTAAAAACAGCACGTTAATTAATTTAAATGTCATTTAGTCGTAAAATTAAAGATTTATTTCGACAACGGGAAACACGGCATCGGATTAAAGTTAAAATTCCAACATGTCATTGTTTATATTTAACGAAAGCGGTTAGCTGTAAAGATATTTGTTTTTTATTCTACAAAGAGAAACAGTCCTTTGTTCTATTTGGCAAGGACGATTAATTCTTGTCTTGTTTCCGTCTTTATAACTTCGTTCTTTTGTTGCCGTGCTTAATCTTACGACTGTTTACCGTTCTAAAATGTGAATGAAAGCGTCTAAAAGATACTCCAGAAGATACAAATGATAAAGCAAAAAGATACTAATTTATAAAACAAAGATATTTTCGCGTAGCAAAGTATATAATTTTAAATTTCTCATTATAAAGTTTTCAATATTTGCACATATTTACAGGAAGTCCTTATAAATTTCACATCGACAATATTTCTTCCGGTTACGTCACCGCTTGTGGCGAAGGCCTGGCACGTGGTAATGCTGGAGATCCCTGTAATTTTATCGTTTATACAAGAGGGGGTAGTAAGTAAAATAGTTTCTTATTAAATGAGTTTAAATAAAAATATATATACTGAAATTTTATATTCATTTCATTTCCTATAGCCAATTTATCGGTTCACGTCGATGGACCTACAAAATCAGAGGTTAATTGTCACGATAATAAAGACGGAAGCGTCAGCGTGTCTTACATACCTCCGGCTCCAGGAGAATATAAAGTATCTGTGAAATTTGATGGAAAACATATCAAGGACAGTCCGTTCACAGTTAAAATTGCAGGTCGGTAAAAATAGAAATTAAGAAAATTGCGTAATCTTCTCTAGAGCATTAGAATCAAATTTTAACAACAGTTTAATCCAATTTTATTCTAGAATAGCCTTTGACATTTTACAATGTGTAATCGCGCTCAAACAAACACTTTATTTATTTACATTACACTTACATCCATAAATTTTTAACTTTTTAGCTGAATTTTCTTAATATATTTAAATAATATAACCTGCTTATATAAAAAATACAGTTTAACTTATATTTATTTATTAAAATTGTAATTAATAATTTTATTTATTTTTTCTCTTTAATACTTAATCCTTTAAACAACTGCATAATTTGATATCCCCAATGTAAATCTAAATTATCAAACATGTCATAAATTATTTTTTACACTATTAATAGATAATTAAACGTTTTATGTCCAATTAAAGTTTGAATTGAAAGAATACATTTTGATTGTTAATTAAAAATTGAAATTTTAAACTGAATATTTTTTTCAATTATAAGTTCATGAATTTTTAAATTATAACATTTTGACGCTTTCAAAATTTCGTAAACATTTAAAATACATTTTGTACAATAATTTAAGTCTTTAGAATAAGAAACTTGATAATTTCTATTTATGTTATTTACAAAATATAAACGAATACAGTATTATCCATTTTATATATATAATAAACAATTCGTAAGTTCCAATAGGCAATGTAAAATTTGAAGTAAATTCGAATTTAAATATAAATGACTGTCTTAACTACGTTGATAAGAATGTGATTTGTCCGTCATTTACACAAATTTCTACCTACGTTTAGCAGAATAGAAGAAGCTCCTTTATTTTGAAATGTCTGGTATAAAAGCAAAAATCAAGTTTCCGCATTTAGAATAATGGAAATCGAAGTTTAATACTAATTTTTAATTTTCTGAATATTATCAATATTTTGAATATATAATTAATTTGTTCTTACTGAATATGAGCTTATACATGATGGATGTCCATGGATGGATGCCATCCATGATGAATGGGGTGGCACGCCATCGTACCGGTAAATCTGCCGTAATTGTGTCAATGGCAAATCATCGAACTATTCGTCCACCGCCGTGTTAGGACTATACACATATCGGTCACTATTCGGGGTACCGTCAATGAATACCGGACCGAGAAGCTGCTCATCTCAATTCCCGCACCAAACGCTTACGGTAAAACGTACTCAATGTCGCATGCGTGTTCGAAAATGTACTGCTCAGTGGCGCAGATGGTGACGATTCCCATCAAATATGCCGAAGGAGTGGTTCGTCGTGCTATAAATTTAACGTCATGTTCCACCACTCAAATCGCTGTGCTGAATCTCCTGCATGTTGTGGTTGCAGATGGCGGTGCATGTTATGGAGACCTAATATTCTCCGTATTTGTATTAGCTACAGTCCACAACCTAACCCACTGTTTTCAGCCTTTCTTTCATAGTTGCGACCTGCTTCTTTATTAGGATTATTGCACTTTTCGTATATTTAGTAATATACGTAAGAAATGTTATGGCACTGCTCACCACTAAATTTCATTGTACCCGGATGAAAACCACTGACTTAACTTACTCTAACCAATGCTGGAAATATCTCTTTTGCCTCTGGATAAAACTCATGTTTAAGTGTCACCCTATACACTCATTATAAACTTTGTTTTATTCGCTGATTTTGTCCTTGTTTTATATTAATAAAAAAGCATAATTATTTTATGCTTTTTATTGTATTTATTTATTTCAGAAAGAGCGTGCATGACCTTTGTTCGTTTTGCTCATCTCTATGCCAGTCGTGAGCAACCCATGGACCCGCGAGGTCTTAATACGCAGGTCCAGGGCTTCGTCAACGCAAATTTATTTTCTAGTTTTCTGCTTCGTGCCATTACGCAACCCTAATTCGACGGTCAGAGGGCAAAAGGGCATAAGTAACTTTTTATCGATTATGAGTTTATTGAAGTTAAGTCGTCACTAAATATAATGTACTTTTATGTTTATCACAGTAACGTCCTAGACAAAATAATTTCCATCATTTTCATATGCATAAACAAAAAAAAACAACATAATATTATTCTAAAATGTGAACTATAAAGTTATTTTTAGTTTCTGAAAATATATTGATATTTTTGACTTATAACCTTTTACCCTCTGACCCTCTAATATTCATAACGAAGAACATTGAAACTAAACTTGACCAGTAAAAAGATAAGAATAAACTACTGGTATATATTACAGTACTAGTGTGCATACCATTAGCATATTAGCATTTTAGTATATAGCCTACTGGCGATTAGGGAATATATTGTTATTCAACAGGCCTGCAACTCCATAAGAAAAAATTTATGCGGCTCTCATCCCGAAAAGATTGCTCATCACTGCCTTACATCGTGGCAAAAGGCATCATATGATGCGTAGCGCAGCTATCTTACGAGAAACAAACAAAAAAAGAACCAATAGCACTATTCGATTATATTATTATTTATTATATTTACAGTATTAATATATGCCAATAATATTTAAAATTAATTGTAGCAACGACAGAACATTAAATAAAAACAATAAATTGTCTCGTTTACAAAAAATAATAGTAAAATTGCATAGAATCTGTATGGATAATGAGGTATTAAAGTTTTATTTCAAAATATTTTAAATATTTATGTATTTATATTTATAAATTTTACAATTAAAATTTCACAAGTGTTTGAAAGTTATTTCATTTGTTTTTCACATATGCTAAAAAATAATCCATAACATTTAGTAATATTGCAAGTCTTTAAACTCTCGTCAGAACACATCAATACTCTAGATTTAAAATGCATGATTCATTTTAAGTGGGAGGGCCAAATTACGTGACTTTCCACTAGAATAGAAATGAGTATGAACGTCTAAAAAAGTTTGTGGAAAGGGAAAAATGCATAACTTAGCGAATTCCATCTATAGAAATGGTGCCAAGATTGAAGTTAGTGAAGAGAAGAAGCAGTTTTACTACCGTAGATTCAAGAAAATGGCTTTCAAAATGTTTTTTCCATTTTTTTAACTATGTTGCTTCCTGGCTACACTGTGCATTACATTACAGATTCCATTCCGAAACAGTTCTCAACTATTTCTCGGTCTTTTACAGCTGCTTATAATGTCGTAAAACTATATTTAAAGTTTAGACTGCCTAAATTGTTATATATAATTAGAAATTTAAAATGTTTTTATAAGAACTTGATTAAAAAAGAAGATAATAAATTTTTAGGTGAAGGACGAAAACGAAGTCAAGTATCCGTTATGCATTCCAGTGAAGTGTCGATTAATTGTACCGAAAAAGATTTAAAGACTTTAAATGCGAGTATTGTCGCACCTTCGGGATTGGAAGAACCTTGTTTTTTAAAAAGAATGAAAGATGGATTAGTTGGTGAGTGCATTTATTCATTTGCTTTTCACTAATATTTTAAATCAATTTAACTAAATATGACGCATTGAATATGGACTAGTGATTATTTAGAACACTTCAAAACACATCAATTCAAATTTTATTCACAACTTTATACATAAAAAGTAATACTTACCATATTACCACATTTAATATTTACCATTTTCTGGAAGAATCTTCGAAAAATTCTTCTTTATCGTTTATTAAACTGATATAAGTTCACGCTTTCTTTTAAGGAGAATAATTATAGGATATTCTGTATTTCTGTAATTATCAGATGTTTTAAGAAGAAATACTATGAATGAAACTGATAAAATTTAGTTTGTATTAACAGATTTTTCATTCTGAATATCTTCATTCAAAAATCAAAAGAAAGAGAAAATGGTTGGCAGAAGTGTTTTTAGTATTTGCCAAGGTCTTTTCCCTTTCTCAGATCTATCATTTCTGCCTCCTAAACAAAACCAATTTAGAGTGTAGAAATTTATTAAGTATGTTTCGTATTCGGACGGGTATATAATATATTTAGAATCTTATTAAAAAAAATGAATAATTTTTATTGCATCTCTTCATGAATCTTCTAAAATTACATAACGTATTCATCATGATTAGTTTAAAAAATTAAAATTTATTATTTAAATAAATTATTTCTATATAGTTTATCATTCTTTGCATTAATGAATTGCTTCGCATAATATTTCCTGAAATAGTTTCATATGTGTATTATTTGTAATACATAAATTACGAGAGAAAATTATATTCGTATTATGTATGGGTACGAAAAAAATATTACATAATACCCATTATTTTGTTCAAAATATGGAAAATGCAGTAGAAAAAGTAATATGAAATAATCTAGAATTCCAGCAAACATTTTACTATTATTACATATCATCGCTATTGATTAAAAACGTAATTAAAAACTAATAAAGTTTCTAAAAATTTGCAGTAGGTCTAATTTTTTAAACTACAGTATTTTCATAAATGATGAATAAAAGTTAAAAATAACAATGATTAGTTATTATCAAGCGGTTAAGAGGATGTTATAAATATTACGTAGATATTAAAGTAAAATTTGAGTTCGTTTGGCCTAATTAACTATCAAAAGTTCAAGATAAAATTATTTACATATAAATTCATTTAATAAATTACTTGTCGATTTATGAAAATGCAATGTAATTATTACATAAAATTAATAAATTTTTAAGACACGCCTGTCGAAACAGTCACCTTTTATTCCAAATTTCGTTTTTCAGAATAACACTTCGACCGCACTGACCTCATTGTAGACTGCAAGACTGCATATTTCATTGGAATTGCAAATTGCATAGGTGCTTTTACTTCCCGAGCACATAGCCGACAAAAGACCTCTACATATAAAACATTCATGATGATTCAAATAATTTCTATATACAGGGTGATTCGGGAGGAATCTTCAATATTTTCGGAGATGATAGTATGAGTGATTATAAACAAAAAACGTTCATATGAACATGTATCTGATTTCTTGTCTGAAAAATTTTTGCTGACGTGCATTTCGGTACCGCGCAGCTGTACGAAAAAATCAGATGAACATTGATCCACTGTGGTAAAAATTCCCTTAAATTATTATCTCTAACCTGATCTTTGTTTTTATTGGAGACTTACAAGTTAAAAAGTAATGATAATATTAATAATGTCCATCTAGCCATTTCGGTTATTTCATCGAATGTTCTGTTTATCTAGGTCAGGGGTGGCGAACTTATGGCACGTAAGGAGAAATCATCCGTTCGGTTTATCACCCGATCATCCTTTTTTCGATCAGCTTTTTTCATTTATTCTAATTAAAGTATATTTCTTTCATTTCTTTAAATACCGTTATTCGAAGTCTAAAACTTTGGCACGCATAAACATTTTTAAAGCTAAGTATACTTAAGATGGATGGCGTAAAAAGGTTCGCCACCCATGATCTAGGTCGTTTTCTGTTTGTCTTATTTAAAATCGGGACGTAGTTAGGTTGCATGGCGCAGCTGCACCCCTTTTTTCGAGGGTTTTACCCAAGTAAATCCGGATACAACAGGTAGTAAAAAATGTTGAAAGGCATATTGTTTTCTTCCTGCAACCTCCGCTAAAAATTTCTTGATCTGCTATTGTTTAAAATCGATAGATATATTAATAAGCAGTTTATAATTATTCTATGATAAGCAAACTTGGTATTAATTCAATTCATTCTTCACTTAAAAGCTTGTATTCTATTGTAAAGTCTTGTTTACTTGTATTCGAATTTTATAAATTAATGAGAAATTTTCTATGAGTAATTACATATTTTCTGTTTAATGATAAAGATAAATTGTTTTGTTAATGGAAGAAAATTACTAGAAAAAGTTTAGAAATTATATTTAAATTCTTAATTTTATAATAGTATTTAATTTCATTGATTAGATACTATTATTAATCACTAAATGTATTCATTAATTGAAAAGGTATGAAATATTAATATAATTTTTCAATAGTATACTGATCTTTTAGGAATTTCCCGTTATCCACAGATGCAATGATAATGTCAATAAAATAGAGAGATGGAAATGAAAATAAATCTGAACAATTAGAATTTATTAACATAACTTTAGTTCAACTTCTAAAAAATTCAGCAACGAGTTGCGTAACTTTCCCGGCAAGAAATTTAAAACTGTAGTTCTGCCATCTATTATGATATTTTATTTACAAAAACTTTATATACTATTAATTATTATGAAATGACAAAATGCTTAATTTCAAGGATAGAGACGAGTTTTGTAGAAAAAAATTGTAAATGCTAACGAGCAGTTATTTATTATGACGCCGGGATGTAATTTAAAATCATATTTTTAATTTATTTAATATATGATCTCCACCACGAATTAGTAGTGGCTTGCCCCTGTACATCACACTTTTCCTTTAACAATAGAATCGTGCCGGTCATCTAACTAACTCCTTTCGGGGGAAAATGTTTTAATTGATATAACGTGACTTCCTGTGCAAATCGGAAGTTCGTGTACTGTACAGTTAATCGAGGCCTCCTGCTCATAAGCTTTCAATATCTCGTCCCGATTTTCATATAACTCCGTTCTCAAGATTAAGGAAGGATAGACAAACAGACACGCAGATGGACGACAGTGGGTCTACGATTTTTTCAAATTGCAGCCCAAAAATAATGAGTAAAATCTTCATTAAGTCCGACCCCATTCAAGATACAACACACGACTCCCTCTATCTCCTACCCCTCGACCTTTAACTACCAAATTTTAATAGCATCAATCCTCTAATACACAAACCTCTCCATCAAATTTCAAAAATTTTTGACAAAAGGCACGGGAGTTATTAAGCTTCAAAGTGGGTGAACAAAATGGTGTTCACACACACTAACATCCATACGTACAGTGAAACCCCCAAGTTTTCTGCACTTCTCGACGTTTTAAGGTCCTCGAGTCCAAAAACGTAAAATCTTGCGAGAACGTTTTTTTGACCGATTGACATACCTTCACTGTACACATTTATAAATTATACCTTTGTGTTAATTCCTTTTACCTCTTTGTCCTTACTTTTTATATTTCTGTTCCTATATGTTTACTTGGACTTTGTTTATTAATAGGACTTATACCGGTGAAGTTTCTGATTAGCAAAGAGGAAATCCTAGTCAAAAGTCAAAACAAAATATCTTTATTTTCACCCGAAAATAAAGATACTTTGTTTATATCTTTGTGTATTTGGCACGCATTTCGAGTATTTTTGAACATAAATTAATTAATTAAACTAAGTATAACATAACTAATAATGGAATTTTAAAATTACTTTGAGAACTGGCATTGTTATGCTTAATGTGAAAAATGTAAAATCATTATATTATTGTAGCATTAAACATCCGAGAAATGACAATAATTTAGCCGAAAGAAGGAATTTACCGATTAAAATAATCATTTCATTTGGTTATTCAAATATTCCAAATTATATTACAGCATATTGAAAATTATAGATTCTTCCAAGACAATGTTTTTTTAAATACGAAGTAAGAATATATAAAGACTGTTACTAAAAATTAGTGAAAATGATGGCCATCATTTTCACTAATTTTTAATCAAGGAATTAGCATATATAAAAAAAAAAATTCATTTATTATTATTAATGGCCAACGTTCACAGACATATTTTATCAAACTTTTTTTTTTGTTATTCAACGCTGCAAATGCCAAATAGTTTTTTTATCTTACTTAAAAAGATAACAATGTTTAATATATCATTTCCAGATAACAATTCCAATAATATATTATTTTTATTAAATAAAGAATTTCTCATATAAATTACTATTCTAATTTTCAATCTTCAAGTTTACTATTTTTCATATACAGACTCAATAAATCACTTAGCCTATATGTCCTCGATTGTGATAAAATTAATACTCGTTCCATTGGTTATAACCGTATTTTTAAATTAATAAGATGTTATAGACCGATGAATAACTGGTTATTAATAGACTAATTTATATCAAGAAATGCACTACTAAATTAAGAACCGAATAATACATTCACGAAATTAACAAATTTATTATTTCATTTTAATATACTGTATGTATAATAGAAAGTTTCTATTATAAATAGGGAAAAACACGATCGAGATTACTTTTATTAAACTCATCATATATGAATTTTTTCTGAGTTATTCTTTAATAATCTTTTCTATCCCTTCGTAATAATTGATGTTATTTAGACAGATGACGGCACGACTCTCTCGCTAACAGGAAAAGTATGATATAAGGGAGCAAGACACTGCTAATTTGAGTTGGAGAGCATGTTTTAAATTAAATAAATTTTTAAAGATATGATTAAAAATTGCAACCTGGCATTGTGACACGGTCACAATAAATAATTGCTCGTTGGTATTTACATTTTTAGAAAAAGCTCGACCTTTTACCCAAAATAAGATTGCATTTTCTTTCTAACCTTTATAAATTATAATTGAAAATTGCCCTTTTTAATCTCCCCTTCGAGTGCCGGAAGTATTGTGAATTATTTCACGTTTGTATTAATTATTTTTACAAATTTATCACAATAAATAAATAGTATTTCCCTGTACAGAGTTTGTGTAAAAACACGTAACATTTTATTTATTAATTTTTAATTAAGAAATATAAAAAGTAGAGATACGAAACAGAAAATACGTGGTATATAAAACTCGAAACTCTCTAATTTGTTTTCTTAAGCGCAAGTTAGTTAAATTAGTAAACGTCAAATATCTCTTTTATTTCGTGTAGTGAAACAAAAACTTATTTTCAGATAGATTTATTTCTGTTAAACTTACTCTTCGTTAATGATAAAGATTTACTGTTTATTTACTTGTGCGGGCGAAGCATTTCTTCTAAATGGGAATAAGCATTTCTATTGTTTGTCATAATTCTAATCCAAGCAAAAATTTTTAAAAATCTTTTGGCTTTTGGGGTGCGAGATATCGTTTGGTGATAAAATGTTTAATTTATAAAAATATTTCATTTACGGAACGGTTTTTTCTTAGAAAACTTAAAGGTCTATAAAAAGGTTTATTCTACGGTCTTGGTCTTTAGTATAAAAAAACGATTTATAAGTGAACATAAATGAACACGTTATCAATTAACACAGTGTTTTTAAAAAAGACACAAAGTTTCCGATAAAATGTTTTTCAATCGAATTGGTTAAAAGTTTTTAGCTTTTCCACCGAAAACCAAATTTTCTTTAAAATAATTATGCAGTTTTAATTAAGATCTTACGTGCTTTTTCTGTTGTAAATATTTTGTAAACGACTTTGAATTTTCTGCAGGTATTTCGTTCACACCTCGCGAAAAAGGCGAACATTCCGTCAACGTGAAACGTCTAGGAAATCACGTGAGAGGAAGTCCTTTTAAAATTCTGGTTGCGGATAAAGAAATAGGAGACGCATCCAAGGTTAAAGTTTACGGAAATGCTTTGAAAGAGGGAGAAACTCACGTAGAGAACGAATTTGTGGTGGAAACGACAAATGCCGGTAGGTAAACGTGAACAATTTAAAGCTCTTTTTAAGGATGCGGAATTCGAACCTCTTTCTACATTTAATTCTTATTCTTTCTATCTTCAGGTTACGGAGGTTTAAACTTTTCCATAGAAGGACCGAGTAAAGCGGACATCAATTACGAAGATAAAAAAGACGGAACTATAAGATTTTACTACACCGTAACCGAACCGGGTTACTACATCGCCAATCTGAAATTTGCCGATCATCACGTGAAGGGTAAGTTACGTGGCGACGTTTGATCCGCACGACAGACGTTCGGGTAATCGAACGAATTTTGCATAATTAGGAAGCCCGAGCGCCATAAAAATAACCGGAGAGAAATCCAACATCCAGAGAGAAACCATCAAAAGGTTCAGGAAACCCGCTCCCGTGGTCGCCGTGGGCAACGAATGCCGATTGTTTTACAAGATGGCAGGTGAGTGTCGAGTGCCTTTACGTACTGTATCGTACGCGGCACGGCGCTGGTATTTATGAATGGAACAAATCGTAGGAACCGTGGCTTTCGACATGGCCGCCAAATTCACCGCTCCCAACGGAGACATGGACGACGCGGAAATCATAGACAAAGAAGATTCGGTCTACGCCATCCACTTCATCCCCAAAGAAGTGGGCAACTACGCCGTTAGCGTTCGATACAAGGACATGCACATACCCGGTTCTCCCTTCCAATATACGGTCGGACCCTTCCTGAACTTCGGAGCTCACAGGGTGCACGCCGGAGGTTTCGGACTAGAACGAGGACTGGCCAACGAACCGTGTAAGTAGTCTCTCCAATCCCAAACACTTATTTAACACGCGATAACACATTTAAACGTGGCAAAACGGAGATAAATGTTATTTTGGCATTCGATTTATTTTACAAAGGTGAATTCAACGTGTGGACGAGAGAGGCGGGTGCAGGCACGTTGGCCGTATCCATGGAAGGACCTTCCAAAGCCGAATTGGACATGAAAGACCTGGACGACCAGACGGCTCTGGTTTCCTACATCGTTACGGAGCCGGGTAAAGCCTCGATCTCTATTTTTAGTTGTCTTTTCGTCACCGATTCTTAGCCTTTGTCTCTTCCCTCGTTCAGGCAACTACCGCATAGGAATCAAGTTCAACGACGAGCCGATTCCCGACAGCCCTTTCAACATCTTCGTCATGGCGCCGGTGGGAGAAGCCAGGAAGATCGAATTGGGACGGATGCCCGATTCCAGCGCCCTTCAAGTCAACAAACCCATCGCCTTCAACATCCAGATGAACGGGGCCAAGGGCATGCTGGACGGAAAAACCATATCGCCTTCTGGAGTGGAAGACGACTGTTTCGTGGCACCCGTCGACGAAGGTGAGAGAACCCGACCCCCGTTTTATTTAGCCGTAAATTCGTCATAATAAGTAACTCGGCCACTTTTTCAACGCAGATCAATGGGCGCTTCGTTTCATACCACGAGAGAACGGGATTTACTACATCCACATCTGCCTCAACAACATCCACATTCGCGAGAGTCCCTTCCGCGTTCTGATAGGGAAGGACGACGCCGACCCGGCGGCGGTCACCGCCTACGGAAACGGGTTAAAGGAGGCCCGCTCTGGTAAAATTCCCTCTTACGACACTCTCCGGAGGCCCGGACGTGGTAAGAAAGGTCTTTTGTCTTTTTCAGGTGCCAAAACCGATTTCATCGTGGACACGTGCAGCGCGGGAGCGGGACAATTGGTGGTGACGGTAGAAGGACCTTCGCACGTCACCATGGATTGGACGGAAGTGGAAGAGGGTTACAAGTTTCGTTACACTCCTCTGGCACCCGGCGATTACTACATTAATATAAAATACAACGGTTATCACATCGTCGGAAGCCCCTTCAAAGTTCACAGCACAGGTAAGATCGCCTCCTTCCCAAAGTGCAATTGCCCGGCTTTCGAACCGTGCAGAAAATTCACATATTTTCGTTTTGCATTGGAAACGTTAATTCTGGATGGGTAACGGGCATAAAGAGGAATGTTTTGTAAAAGCGAATTAAAAATCACCAACTCGGGTCAAACCACGGAGAAAGAAAGTCTGCAGACGTCGCCGACGGTGATAAATATCGATAAAAATTTGTAACGGGAGTAATTTGAATTTTTGACAGGGAGCCTGTTTGCCGAACCGGGTCTAACGGAAGTATCGTCGCTAACCGTCGACACCGTTCCGAAACAGGCCAAACACAAGGTAGACCACCTACCCCAGTTCCGTTCGGACGCCTCCAGAGTGACCTGCAAAGGACACGGACTGAAAAAGGCCATGACTCACAAAAACAATCAGTTCACCGTCAACTGTCTGGACGCGGGTACGATCGCCTCGATCTTTCCCACTCCAGGCTTACCCTACCACCTTACTGACCTTATCCGTCTTTATCTCTAGGTAACAACTTCCTGTTCGTGTCCCTTTACGGTCCCAAGGGTCCCTGCGAAGAACTCAGCGTGAAACACATGGGAAGGAATCTGTACCAAGTGGGTTACGTCATCAAGGATCGCGGCGATTACGCCCTGATAGTGAAGTGGGGAGACGACCACATCCCCGGAAGTCCCTTCAGAGTGGAAGGATCTTGAGATCGTCGAGGTCGCGGTTTCGCCAATGTTTGACTGAATCAGACACCACCTAGACACGTTTCGTCATCCATTGTTCAGAAAGTTATTTTCCCGACATATCAGCGATTACGCGTCCACCCGATGCTAAAAATATTCGTTTCGTCATAACCGTTTGTCGTTTTTCTTTTCTTTCCCGTAGTCGAATAGACACGTTCGTGTTATTTAATTCGATTTCTCTTCCGAAAATTGTGTAAGATAACAGATGGATTTCTATTCGCACGTTTGGACCAGCGTCTCTTCCCCGTGGGTTTGGCCCGTTTTCTTTTCCATTAGTCGGCAGGAACCCGATCGTTGGAAACATTTGGTCGCATCACTGCCAAAGGAGCCAGGATTAGCGTTAAAGTCGTTCCTGCCATACGAACACCGGGGCCACTCATTAACGTTTGCGTCTCCGCTTTATAACCGCCAAAGTCGGCTTTTCGACCTTTAACACTGGCACCAAATTCCGTTTCCTTCCCAACGCGTAACCCATTAACCAGGATTAACCTCTCATGGACTAAACGCCCGGCAGACATTTTGGAAAACGGTGCGAGTAACACCAGAATAATCCTTAGCGTCTTCTATTTAATTCCTCTAAACGATGGCGTCCGCGCTTCCTTCCCCAAAACGCCGCTTTTAAATAATCTGGAAGTAATCGCTTCCTTCGAACCCCATGAGAAACAATAAAAAAGAGTATCATTCAATTAGCAGTGTCAAATACTTTATTTCGGTATTTAAAAACTTAACAAATGAAACGTAATGTACAGTACTTTAGCACCCTTAGTGTGAGCGAAAACTTTGTGACAGAAGTTCGGACTAGGCAACGAATAACAAGAGAGAAGTGTTCGTATTCAAATACAGAATAGGTAATATCGAGAAGTTCCGAAACGACATTACATTATATATGTTAATTAATCGGGCAAATTGGACTTGAAAATTTCAAATTCCGCCAACTTTCCAATACCGGACAACGTAACAATGGCCCGAATTGTGACGTAGACGATAAATACGTTTCGGAAATTATCGGCTTTTCCGCCAACGATACTAAATAGAAAAACGTAAAAGTTAAGTAACGGCAACGGGCCGCAACCACACTCGAAAGACCAGCGGGAGATTCCACCGATAACAACGACGTCGGCACCTTATTTAAAGGCCGGTCGGCCTACGGTAACGCGCGACGATTTCTATTAGTCGTTAGTCGACGCATCCTTTGGCACTAATATGGCGATCCGGAAATCACCGGTCCAAAAAATTGTCTGACAAAGTAACAAATATCGGACAATCACGCGAGATTATTAAAAAAATATACTCGCGGCAAAAATGGTAAAAATTCGTAAACGCTAATTAAGGTAGAAAAATACAGTGACCCGCGCGCGAGACGATCGATCGACCAAATTACGGACAGGAACGTCGTAAACGCTTAAAGTTGCATTTAAAACGTACCGGGCCGAAAAATCTGCCGCCGGATTTCGAAAAGTAGGGGGCCCGGCGGATAGAGGCATTATTATTGCGTAAGAGTAGAAGGCGAGTGTTATTTTACCGTCACACCACCGAGACGTCGTCCAGACTGACTCCCGCGTAAACGTGATGGTAGTGACTGCTCCAGAGAATGGACAGGAACCAGGAGGCGGAAAGGCCTCCCGCCGCTCCCAGGACGGACATGACCAGCATCAGCGCCCTCATGGAGGACAGGACCGTCCGGCAATCCGTGTCGCGGTAGGGAAACAACTGGTCGTACAATTGTCCGTCTTTGCGACACACGCAGTCTCCCCCCGAGGGAGAACAGGAACTGTACCGATCCACGTACAGAAAGACGTGTACCGACAGAAAGACCGAGGCTATGGTGCTGGTCAGGACGGACACCGGAAGTGCCACGAAACACGCCACCTGAAACGAGAATCGTCTTTTAGTTTCTTCCTAATCCGAGGTTTTCGGATTAGGAAGAAAGAAGTTACCTTAAAAGAAAAGACGGACTTCTTGGCCGAGTGCTTGTTTTTGCATCCGAAGACCAAGACGCTGGATATGAGTCCGGACAGAAGTAACTGGAAACAGAGAAACTCGTAATGGCGCTTCTAGACAAAGAAAACGCCCGAATTCGGGTGGAAAATCGGAATATCGATACTCACGGGTACGGATGCCCACAGAGGGAAGTGTCGGACGGAGAGGGAAGGGACGGTGAAGGCGGCGTGGATGGCCACCGCGGTCAGGACCGCCCCCGTCACCACCTGAACGATGGACAGTAGGGCGGCGCATCTCCAACATTTCATATCTGAAAGGGAAAATTCCTCCGTTAATCGTTAACTCGCCACTTTTAAGTATTACCGCCGGTGAAAATCCACAGGTCTACAACTTTTGATAATTGCAGCCCGGTATTAACCGTTTGCTGCGTAAACAGTACACGACCGATAATCGGACGAAACAAATCTAGACAGGTGACGCCTGGCCAATTCTCGTTTGGCACAATAGGCGTACGATAAAAACGAAATACGGGAAACGACTTTATTCGTGGCAACAAAATAAAGTGCGGGTTAAATACAGTCTGACCTCGATATAGCGCCGCCATTTGTCGGCACTAAATGGAGTATGGCGCTAATAACGGCTTCAAACAGAATTGTACGTAGACTTTAGGTTTGACAGCTGGAATCCAGGTGATTCGGTGTAAAAACGCAAAATCTTACGTTTTAATAATTGGCAGGTAAAGAAAGGTTCCGTATTTAATACTTATAGGGTGATCCGAGGGGTAAAACTTATTTAGGAGGGCGTTATACCGAGGTTTGATTGTACATTTATTTAATAAAATAAACCTAAAGCTCCCAAGAAAAACATCGACGCGCATCTCAGATTCCGTATTACAGATGTATTACATAAATCGAATGTCAAGTTACGTATCGTACGCTAATTCCGCAATTTACAAATCAAACGACGAGTCATAGGTAAACACCAATCTATCCTCACAATAGTAACACCGACCTCTTCGTTAGTTATTCATTTGTATATTTTACCGTAAACGAATGGAATTCATTTATTTTATTAAACAACTTTTATGGTTTGTAACTATCCTCTTACAGAAATCCAAAGACAAAATGGTCCATTCCACCAATGTACAGTACAGTATTTATTAATTAGGATAAAAACAAAAGTTACGAGTGGACGTCCCGATGGCAAACTTCTTTTCGGTGTCTTCGCATCTCGACTTTTGCTAGCCGAGATGGCAACAAAATAAAGAGTCTCTTCTAAATATCTATTCGTCATTACTCATCGATACCGCCTGTCAAATATTATATATTTCTACATTTCGTGTATCCACTGGCCGCCATCTTTATCATCTTTATCTCCTGTTGTCTACAGTATAACACGCGTAGCAACTAAATTCGGTTATTAATCGTTGGATAAAAAACTTCTGCGGGTGAGATCGAAAGCTTCGTAAACTTTAAATCTTTAACTAATGGCGCAATCTGGCAAATAACACTTTTAAAGATTTATTTATGTCGTTTCCAATTTTTTCGTGTCGGCAGAACACTAAACTTTGAGTAATAATATGAAAAAAAATGAAAGCCCTCAAAACTCAAAAATAATAATAAACCGGCAACGAGTTACTCGACTTTCCCGGCAACATTTCAAATTTTAGTGAAGCCATCCGTTATCATATTTTATTTTTAAAAAACTTTTTATATTTTTAACTATTATAAAATGGCAAAAAGCTTAATTTTGAAAGTAGGGACGGTGTTTATAAAGAACTGTAAACGGTAATAACCGGTAAAATCGTCATTAAGTCCGACCCTACGGGAGATACGCGCGATCCCGTTATCTCCCGCCTCCTCGACCTTTAACCACCAAAATTTAATAGCGTCGATCCTCCTAACAAACAAACCTCCCCGCAAAATTTCAGAAATTTTTGACAAGCAGCACGGGAGTTAGTAAGCTTCAAACAAGGTGAACAAAATCGTGCCCCTCCACACAAACATCCATACATACAGAAATTCCCCTCGACGTTTCCAGGTGCACAGAGTCCAAAAATATTCAAATCTTCGGGGGGTCATTTTTTGACCGATGGCCATACTTTCCCTCCGTTATAAGTAACAGCCGGGAAAGTATAAATAAAAATTAGATTTCGGATAAAAAAGCTCCTAACTGTTCTGTTGGCACACCACCAGAGATGTCATATCAAAGACATTTTAATAGCAACTATTACATATGTAGCAAATTGTACGAAAGCAGTTATTCGCCAATCGCTTGCGTTTTCTTCAAACCACGTGTCAAAAAATTATAATTGCAGATTACTATTTCACGCGTTTAATAATAATGAATTTACCGGTTAACACGATATATTCTTTCACATAGCTGCGATGTGATAACATACTAGAAATGTCACCATAGTTTTTTTATTTAAAAAAAAATTAAATACGTAAACGTCGCGTTATTCGAGTACATAATTCGTTTACTTAATAGTCTATTCGACTTCCGCGCTGCTTAGTTTTGTTTTCGGTCCTATTTGTGGCAGGACCGAAAATTCTTTACTGGTAACATCTCGAATAATTGTGCCGATGACGTCTTAATTTTTAACCGCGCCCGGTAGCTTCAATAATTGCATTACGCGGGTTGAGAAGATCGGGCAAACGAGTATAAAATACGCGAGTACGAAGTTTTTCTTCTTAAATCCGATTATTAAAGCCAAATCGACTGCCGAATTATCGGGTTGCCGGCCGAGACAGACAAATCAAGAATACTGTACTAAACGGCGAAAGAAGTACTCGAAAACGAACTAGGCCAGGGGTGAAAAAAAACACAAATTAAAGAGAAGACAGATGTTAAGACGATTCCATTCGCATCGGTTGAATCGGAAAGGGCGGGACTTTTCGTTACTAAAATAAAAACCGGATCGAATCGACCATCTTTGCTTATTAAAATCTTATTATAAAATAATACAAAATATTATTGTAAATTGTTTTATTTAAGAAACGAAAATTACCTTCCAAGTTAGAAGTTTCATCTAAGTTCATTTTTTTCTTTAAATCCGGGAAACGTCACTTTTTTTCTCGAAATCCAGAGACAAGCAAAAAAAGGACGGGGAAATAAATAACTCTACATCTTGCGGACTAACCGCAACGAATCGGTATGCGAGTGAAAATTATTAACGTATAAAACGAAAGGCAAGTAGCGAGCAAAATGATTCAAAAACGAACTAAGTCCATAGAGATTTTGGAAGATTTCCATTTCGAGCGAAAATAGAACAAAATGAAAATAACTTACCCCACACAAAACGGTAGAAATACTTCCAACTTTTATCCTTTCGCCTCGTCTACGAAAGAATATCGAGTAAAAACAATAATTCGTTCGTGTATCGTAACACTTCGCTTTAAATACGCAAAAACAAAACTGAAACTATCCGCAAAGAATTTGTTTACATCTTACCTCTAAAACATATGTCGACCGGCAGTGCTGCCAACCCCGAGACCAAATTTTAATTCGCCAATTAAATTAATTATCGTAAGATATAAATTACTTTAAACTATTACTTCGATTCGTAAATATAATAATAATAAATATATAAACTAGAAAATACTCGAACGGATCGCCATCTCCTTTTCCTGGCTTTTAATTTATTGTCCTGGACGTTATATCGATCACATTTTAGTTTTAAATAATTTCTATTCTAAGCGCATCTAATTAAATTTATATTTTAAAAATACGGCAACGTCAAAATCTATAAATTCGATTTAATTGTTGCCAGCCAAACCATAATAATTCCATAAAATTTTATCACGCAACAAAAGTATTGTTTTTTTTTCGATTTGTTATTCTTCTTCCGAATCGAATCGATAATTTGGAGGTTTGTGAAAACAATTAATATAAATTTCTATACCGTACTTTGATGGTAATGCTTCGTTCTTCGATGGCAGAGATGGATGTGTGGCGAAATATCGTAAAAGATATCCTTTCGGAGATCAAGAGTCGCGTGCCGGATTACGACGACTCCTTTCTTTTGGGCCCTCGCGATACGAACGAAACCAATCCATCGGGCTATCTTCGGGTAAACTGTCTTTTTTTTTCTTGATGTAAAAAGTGTCATTTTCTTACCTTTTGCTCGCAGGATTTGTTGGGAATGGCGAAAATGTTAGTAACGAAAATCCCGAAGGACGGGACGGACGAGAAATCGGATAAAATCGGTAGGTAAATAAATAATTTTCCCTGTTTCACCGAGACAGATAAGGGTATTTTTAAGTGACGTAAGCCATTATAAACGTTTATATTGAAAATAATAAGAAAGTAATTTTAAATAACAACTTAAAAAATTCAATTCGCGTGCCGAGTGAGGAATCCCGTTTTTAGTTGCTCTGTCCCCGGTACAGCGCTTTTTGTGTCTGTCGTCCAGATGCGCAATGTGGCATCATCATCCGGGTGAAAGAGGATGATATCTCACGTAATATCTTATCCATCCATCAAACCTTGAGGATTCGACTCGAATTGGTTTTTAGACAATATTAGACTTATGAAATTACCTGTAATCCATGAAATACTACAAGAAAACGAATGGAGTCATACACGGAAATAATTAGATTCGGATATTAAGAAAACCATACTATATGACTCGATCAAGTCCAAGATTCGCTTCTTCGGATGTGACACGTCATGGATATTCACCACATACACAAGGGAGAAACGACTCTTCTTGTTGCGATGAAATTCCGTCTTTCGGCGCCATACGTGGCTCGGCAAGTCCACGACGACTGGCTCAAACATATGAACACGCGCTCCAACATGGCGGACACATTGAATACAACTTGCAAGCACTTTGTGGACAATTTGCACGCGAATAACTCTTAAACGAATAAAATTAAGGTAAAATCGACACTTCCGTTGTATTTTGGGATAAATTTCGGGTTTAATTCATGTATGGCACGGCCTCTATCCGTTGAAAATTGAGCTGCATTCAAAATGGCGATTGCGAACCTAACCCTCACAAATTTGAATCCCCCTCTAAAGTGATATAAGCTTCACTTTTTCTGCGCCTGCATTGAATTTTTAATCGCTTACATCATTCGTAACTACGCTATTGATAAAAATATAAGAGGGAAATGAATTTTACGGTAGGTAAGCTTCGAAAACAATTAGAATCGTATCAACTACGTTGCAACAGTTTAAATGGACTCATCCGAAAGCTGCAAGAGCAATGCACGAATCAAAGCGAAGTGGTGAAGTCTTGCATTGGTAATTTCATAATAATATGCCTTATACTCCTGTCTTAAAACGAATTCGTAAAGATTTTTAAAATGATGTAATTCGCAGATTCTATCATTCGACTGAGACATACAGGAGACAAATTTCTGGAAGAGATGATATTCAAATACGAAGAAGCGAAGAGAAAGAAAGAAAAGGCGGAGGTAAGCGCCTATTCAATTGTGCAAAGCACGAGAAAGGACTACAATCGACATTCATGTATAATACTACACGACTAAGGGTGCGACTATGCAGACACGAGCGAGCGAATTTTCCGAGAGAGCGAGAATATGTGGCGAGAAGAGGCGAGACGCGATAAATATCAAAACCTGTCAGATATGTGCGAGAACAAGAAATTCGCTCTCGCTAGCGTTATTTCTCGCTTCTCGTTTGCGCATGGTTTTCCTTTGCGAAAACTAAATCGCTCGCTGCCTCTCGCTCGCTCTAAATTCGCGTCTGCATAGTCGCACCCTAATGCTTCCGAAAACTAAACAAATAAACAAACAGATTATAAATTACCTCAGTGTGTTACCCAGCACGGAGGTACGAAAGGACCACTGCGCGGTCCGAACGGAAATCGAGGGCGGGCATGATATATACGGAAGTCTACAACGGGTTCTTATTCTGTCTATTTTCAAAGTTCTAGTCAGTTTTTCCCACGGGGTCCAACAAGCATCCACGCCATCTCCAGACCTTCAAATACAGTACGTATTACGATTTGTACTGTACTTGTATCTTTACAGAAAGAGTTGATGAAACTGGAAAATGCTTACACTTCGACACTTCAGATACTTTCAGAAATATCAGACATGGCCAAAAAGTTGCGCACTCGCTTTGTCGAAAATCGCAGCTTAACAATAGAAGAATTGGATGAATTCGATAAAAAAGACGAAGAAAAAAACGGTTGACGAGACGTTACTATGAAAAAATATATATAAAATAAGGATTATTTATATATATAAATAATCAGGTTATAAACTTTCTTCCTGTAGACGACCTTCCGTGTTCGATATCCGAATACACCACCATAATCGATCGTATGACGTACACTAAATTAGAGCCGCTTCGAATCGGTAAGTTGTAATAGAAACAATAAAAGGACACGTTCCAGGAATTTTTGTTTGAAATTTTTAATATTTCGTGCAGGCATCGATTGCGGGGAGTAGAAAAACAGAACCTTTTGCCTTCTACTGGACTTTTAATATTTCCATTGGCAAATTTAGAAACTGTAGAATAATTTTGGGAAAACAACGAATTTATTCAAAATTGATTTTCATATAAAATTCATAAATAAAAATTGAATATCGAATATCCATTTCTTTAAAATCGCATAAATTCTCGCATGCTAAAGTAGCTAAATGACCGCGCGACAAGACGTTCTCGTATTCTCCAGGAAGATCTGGTTTCGAATTTGGCCTCCACACGTTAAAAATATCAAACATTTGGAATTTTACAAAATTCGTACAAATGGGTCGAACCATCGCCCATGCCAAACACTCCATATCGAGTAGCGCTCGTAACCCATAACGGGTAACCGAGCATTAATTAAATATCTACGGTTGTAGTGAATTGTGTTTATTTATTGACGTAAAGGGCTATTTTTTTGCCAGCAAAAGCGGGACGCTTTTCGCACGTGCCAATTTCGGATAGAGTACAATCTCGGTAATCCGACATACACGCACCGGTGCCGGATTAAGGTAAGCTTTTCTATTCCAGTACGTTTCCGCAAGATTTGATGTTTGTTACTCGGCAATATCGAAACGCTGTCGCTTATTCTTGTGTATTCTAATAACCCAAATGTCGATCGTGTGAAGTAAATGCGGAAGCAAGCTTCAATTTGAATTAATTCTCTTAATTCAAATTGGGAGTCTAACAATCTTTACTGTCGTCCCTAAACTGGAGCTCGATATGGCCTTAGTGGAGTGTTAAATTAATAGTAACTGCAATTTGAACTAGTGGAAAAACTTGCTACGAAATTGACCATTTCCAGTAATATCGGAGAGTCGAATAGTGCTGGATTACTGGACATATCGAATTAGAGAACGGTCGGATTACCAAGAGTATATTGTATTTCTATGATTCTATGGAATACCAACCTTCATTTGGGCAATATTGTTCTACGAAAATAAAGCTAAAATATTTAAAATATTCTTAATAAACTTAAAAAAAATATGTCTTATTAATCTTTCTAAAAACGGTTAAATTATATTGCTCCATTCAGTAGTGAACCCAGGGGACCCACCCCCTGGGTTCACTGGCACCTCCCGAAGTAAAAGGAACTGTATTGTGTCCTGTGTTCTATTTCTATACTACTTAGAACTATTAATAGAGTTATGATGTGGTGTAGGAGCAATTCCGACCCTGGACACACGGATTATCTGCCTGTGCACGTTATACAATGCATTACTGCATAATCAGCGATTTGAGAGCATCCAAAGCCTCCTTTGCGACAGATATTCTAAGAATTCGGTAAACTTTCCTACAGCTATTGCAATGCAGTATCTTTTTGTAAATACATACAGGAACTATCACAAAAGAATGTAGAATATTTACATATTACGTATAGCATCATAAAGGTTTGGTTAATGCTTTTGTCAATTCCTACGAAAATCAGTTTGTGGCTGACTGAAAATTCATAGTTGATGGCTCTTCTAGTAACCTCCTCTGGAATTAAAAGGTATCTGTATTGATACTAATTGGTGTCATAATCACTAATAGCTAATGAAAATGATAGAAAGACACTATTTCTTTGAAAAAAAAACAGGGAACACAAAATTATTGTTGATAACAATATTGCCTATGGGTAAGGTGAAAGAAACTTATCTGGAGCTTGCTTGATATTTCATACAGAAATTATCAAGAAATCTTAATTAAAGAAAAATTAAACTATAAAATAAATTTATTCTAAAATTATTTTATTTACCATAATAGAAATGTATACAGTCTTTTAAACACCAATAAATAACTATTTATACAATATTTCTATTCATTTTCCTTTAATTGTGCACTGTTCCTGGATTGTAATTTTTGGTAAATGGAATAGAGGGCACCCAGGGTGAGACAGGCCACCACCGTTCCCTGCGCAGTCACTCGGAGTTGCATTAGGTATATGGAAGTGGTCATTTTGCCCCGTCTCCTGTAGTTATAGATGCCGTAAAGACAGGCTAGAGTGCATCCCGCCAGACCTGAAAATAGATATCACATTTCGTCAATTTTATTTATTTGTGCATCTCTCAAATGCATGTTGAAATAACATTGATAAGAATAAAAGTAATAATAGCTATGCTAATACACAGGGTTATTTTTCATAAATGTTTCCAAACAATACATACCAATATCAGACTAAGTCTGAGCAAAACACAATAAAAGCATTGGGCCATTCCAAAAGAATCCAGATTTGGATCCAATTAGAACTATCGTAATTTGTTAATAGTAGTTTGGGGTGGTGGCACCATTCCCGATTAACTAATCTAATCGATTCCACTCCACTTTGCCGAGAAAGTTGGAATAGCTTAGACGAGGAATGGGAAACCGTTAAGTTTGGACCCCAACCCATAACAGCACACACATACTGGGACAAAACCAAATGACCACAGTAGTGTCTCGCGTAAAAAAAAATCAAAAACAATTTTAAAAGTTAACAAGTTAAAGGTAAATTTCTTATTTACATCATTCTACAAATGTTCTAGTATTTAATCTGTGTAGAATCAGTATTCTTAAATAATCAAAGAGCACTTCTACAATTGTTTAAAATCTGTAAATTTTCCAGAAAATTATAAGTTAATTCTGTGCTATTAGAAAATTTTAGCAGTTAGAAGGAAAAGTATTTTTTATCTTTAGTAAAAGCAAATGGAAGTTTTATACAAATTAAAATTTATATCTAAAGAAGCTTCATTACCAATTTTATAATATAGAAAAAAATTCCCAAATTCAAATCAGTAAAAATAAGTTTAAATGTAATGAATTAAGAAACAAATTTCTCCGATAATTTGAGTAGAGGCTTTAACTTAAAGCATAAATTAGACCTTACATCTTAGAGATGGGTTTAGAAATAAATCAGTAAATATACTACTATACAGTTTTACAAAATTCTATAATTAACAAAATATTTAATTTTTAAAAGAAAATTCATAGTTTACGAATACTTTTAAAGGATAAAAAAATGAAAATTCTTTAAAACTACTTAATAATTTATAAAATGTTGCCAGAATGTTTAAGAAGTTTTTACAAATCCATAAATTGAATAGATAATGATGAAGAGAAAGGCTAATCTGGCATCTAAATTTCATCTGCTAAGAAAAACATACACCAATAAATTATATTTAGAGATCCACCGAATGAAAGACAATTAAGTTTTTTTTAGACCAATTAAACTAGTCTAAAAAAAATAATGCAATGTTTCCATGCATTTTGCATAAACCATCACATAAAACTAAAAAATTATGGAGATACTTCCGTTTTGTTTTGGGTATTAATTAATGAGATGTAGATCTGTTTGTTAGCATCAACAATAGAAACAATAATAAGATTTGTGAGAGTCGAATTTAGGGAATAAATTGTTAAATAAATTTTTAGTTGAGGGAGGAAAAGTTTAAAGAAATATCCAACAAACAGATATAAAAAAAGAACATAAAAATCTTTTCCCACGAACTTAGTTCCTTGTCAAGTATGATACATCGAATGTGTCACCCGAAATCTCGAAAAGACTATTGGTCAGTGGTGAAAAAACAGTCCAAATAAGCCAGTGGAAAAAACCCAACGAGACCCCCTTTATAAAAAGGAGGGGTCAGTCTCTGGAAATTGGTGCACTGTGCAATTTACGTGAACGGATTAGCCGCTACCCGGAACTCATCTAATCGCCGCTGTTCGGACGGACTATGCGCAATAACGTTCGAAAGAACTTTGTGCAACTGGGAAAAGCGTTTCAACGTTCGAAAGAACTTTGTGAAGTCACTAATCGAAGATTCAACCCAAGACTAATCGACGATTCAACCCAAGGTATTTATCCTCGCGCGAAATTCATGTGAGCTCTCTCTCTCAGGAATATGGGTAACCGGGCAAAAAATAGATATGTTCATTGAACCGATTGTATATAGCTATTGCGATTGTATAAAGTATGCACAATAAACGAGCATTATGTATAGATTATGTAGAGCGATTCTCTGATTCTCTCGTTACGCCTCCATCCTGGAACAAAAAGTCCACAAATGCGACCGTTTGCGTAACAAAATAAACAGCCAATAAATTTTTCCTGTGTCCGTTACAGGGACACAGTGGTGTCATCCTGACAGGGTGCCAAAGAGGTGCCAACCCTGCGGTCACAGATTTATCATCATATACAGACTTTCAAATATATCCAAAATTATTGTAATTTTGGGTGCATAACTCATGGTGGTGTATACTATGCAAAAAATTCAGATAACAAATAAAACCCTCCTATAAAATGTGCATATAAAAGGCTTGAAATTGCTTCTTGCAATGCCAAAAACTTTAAGAAAAACACTAATTCTGTCTATCAGTGTTATTATTTCTACTTGAAATATTATTACAAATACTTTTGACAAATTACAGATAAATTTGTTTGCATTTCTCAATGTTTTGAGGTCATCAGAGTCCAAAATTCTAAAAATCTTTGGGTCATTTTTTGACCAATTGCCATATTTTCTCTCTTATATATAACAGCCAGGAAAGTAAAAATTGGAAGATGATTTAATAGTAAACAAGACTATCATCAAAATACCACCAAAAATAAAGAAAAATCTAAAACTGGGCACAAGTATCATCATATATATTAGAGCATTAGAAATGTAAAACACTCAAATCTTAACAGAGGAAATAACATCAAACAAGAACTAGTGCAAGATATAAAATTATATATATATAACAGATTGATAAAAATGGAAAGACATTAATTACATCAAATATAATGTAATAAATAAAAATAGGAAAAAGAAAGGGAAAATATAATGAAAGATGAAAAGAACACCAGGGAACTGTAAGGCTTAACAATAAAGAATGGCCACAATATCAATATTGTCAAGAAGCAAAATTTAATATAGATAAAAATAAATATAAAACATTACTTAGTGAAAAAGTATGTTTAAACAAAACATAAAAGTATTTTACCATAATAAATGGAAATAAATGAATTATTTTAAATAATGGAGTAAAGGTAGATAAAATATGGAATGACAACATTGATAATAGCAGACTTAGGTAATCAATATAACAGATAACGAAGAAGCAAAATATTTATAAGAGCACAAAAAAAGAAATGTTTGGGTTGACTGTAAAAGAAATTTCAAACTTTTTCTAGGAAAAATGTACACTTAATTTCGTAAAAATATAATTTTATATTAATGTAAGAATCTGTTTCTTTTTTAAAAAGCAAAGTAAAAAATAAAGCTGTGTCGTTAATGGTCGTAATAATAATAATTTGTTTGTACAAACCAGTACTAAATATGTTAATGTCAGTCATTTAATTATAAGTGTAATGCATTTTGTGTGTTATTTACAAAAATTTTTTTTATTTTTGTGTAAAAAAACACAGTGCAAAGAGAAGCAAATGTTGGGCTGGAAATGCATTACAGAAGATCCTCAAAAACTCAGCCTAATGTGTACCAAAGAGTGGCCGAGTTTGTGAAAATGCCAGGTTATTGGGAATGGGGTTAAAAAAATAAGTGAGTGTTTCCTCAGAAAATACTGTACTGTACTTGTATGTATTGTTTACTTGAGAATACAACAGAGAATAAAATAAACTGCCCAAATACCCTTAAACAAAGGAAAAAGTACGTCTTTTATGAAGGCATAGAGCCTTTATACTACATGAAAATGAAAATTAATGAATACACTGTGTACAGTAATTTACCTGATAAGACAGACCTCAGAAAAATACTTTATGAGGCATAAAGCTGTCTTTATCATGAAAATTAATTAACTAAGGATTTTTTTGCCCTGCCAGGGTGTGGCTGAGTTATCCGGAGTGCCGGGTTATCGAGTGCCGAGTTTGAGGCTCTACTGTATTAATAATAAAGTTTTACACTTGTTTTTTTTAAATGGACCATCAGAGATTGAAAAAAAAAAGCCCATGTACTTTTAATTAGAAAATATATAACTTTCAATTACAGAAAACTGTGCTGTAATAATTCTTTGTTCTTCTAGAACAGGGGTCAGCAAACTATGGCCTGCGGGAATAATAGGAATTACTGACTTGAAGTTCAGTATGATGAAATATTGTCTCAGAAGAATCACTTTCATTCTTCAAATTAGTAAATTTTCACCATTCTATAATAACTTCATTAAAAACGTTTTTATTTGTTTTGAAGATCGGCAATAATGTGTATAAATATTATGTATTTAAAAATACCACTTCCTAATAAAAAAATAACTTTTTTTTTGTTTTTGCTTTTGCTTTATGAGTAGAAGTACCTATTAAAAAAAGGTACCTATTTGGGTTTGCAACCTGGCCTGCCAAACCTGATTTTTTTTTACAATCTGGCCCTTCCTAAAAAAGTTTACCAACCTGTTCTAGAAGACAAGAACAATGCATGATCTGATGCAACAATTTAAATTTTTACAATAAGTATTTTAAATGTATTTTTGCACTTTACATAAAGCAAATTTTATAAAGCTAGAAATCAATGCTATTATAAACAATTACCATTTATATTTAACATTTTACTGACTGTAATAAAGTCACGCATCTGACAATATTTATTACAGAAGGTTTAAATTCAAAGAACAAGTATTATTACAATTTAAATCAAATTTGAATCTCAAAATGTGTTCAACTGCCAACAAAGTTCCAAATAAAATTCCCCAAAACAACAAGTAAACTAAGTAAATTTTCTGTTACTGGTTTTGTACTGTTGGTTTTAAAGAATTAAAAGCTATGGGCTTTTTTTTTCTGCAGTAACACATCACACAAGGAGCATTTGTCGATATTGATTTTATTGGAGGAAATGCATTTCGGGTCTTAGTGACCCCTCTTCAGTCCTTAGACTTTACAAAAAGAAGATACACAAGGATTGCATGATGCATAATAATACATATTATATTTTTTAAAAATTTTTATATGTATGTATTATTATGCATCATGCAATCCTTGTGTATCTTCTTTTTGTAAAGTCTAAGGACTGAAGAGGGGTCACTAAGACCCGAAATGCATTTCCTCCAATAAAATCAATATCGACAAATGCTCCTTGTGTGATGTGTTACTGAAGGAAAAAAAAAGCCCATAGCTTTTAATTCTTTAACATCAAATTTATAATTTTTAGAATATAATAGAGGAAATTTATACTATAAAATTAGCGTAAGAACCTGAGAGGACCCTACCCCTACCAGGAACATCACTCATGTGGTGGGTGAAAGAAGCCCAAATTATTTGCTCTGAGTAAAGAACTGAACGAAAGTGTTAGAACAGGCAAAGGAAAAAAATTAATATTTCCTTCCAGTATATGAATTACACCAACAAAAAATTGTATGATAGTGCCGACACTTACAGCAATTATGTAAGGACCTTTGCTGGCAGGGAAAATAATGTGACTTCCAAGTTGTTACCATGCAAAACTCCCAAAGAATAGGACAAAAGTTGAGAGTCAACATCTGGAATGTTAGAACTATGCTAAGGATTGCAAAACTGGAAAACTTGGGAGAAAATGAAAAAAGAGAGATTGGATTTAGTGTAGATATAAGTTAAGTTGATTTCTATAGTGATAAGGTGAGAGTAATCTATTGTGGAAATGTGAGAGGAAGGAATGGCATGGCAACTGTTCTTGGTAAGAAAATAAAGAACAAGGTCGAGGGTATAGACTGTGAATAATAGGATCACGATGGTGAAAATAAAGGTCAAAGAGTTGCTGTTCATTCAAGTGTATATGCCAACAAGTGACCATCTAGATGAGGAGATAGAAGAAATATATGCTCAGATTAATAAAATTATGCAAAGAGAAAGAAGAGAATGGTCATGTTATAATAATGGGCAATATAAATGCTGTGTTTGATGATGATGAGAGAAGGTGCTAGGAGATTATGAAATGAAAGAAGAGAAAGGCTACTGAACTTCTGCAGAGAGAATACATTTATTATTAACACTTGATTCAAAAACCATAACAGAAGATACACTTGGAAGGCCCCAGGTGATAAGAAAAGGTTTCAGATTAACTACATTTTGATTGAAATGAAATTTTTAAATAGCATCAAAAGTGCATTTACTCATCTTAAAGCTAAAATTAATTTGGACCAAAATCTAATTATCGTGAAATTGCAGATGTGACTGAAAGGAATTAGCCAAAAATTCAGAAGTATTGAATACGAGAGAATGTAATGTTAAGAAATATCTGCAATCTTCCTTGCTATTTCTTGAGTTAAATACTTCAATTAGTAATAATGTAATAAACCAATGGAAAATTTTGAAGGAGAAATAATCAAGGCAGTTAAGATGATCAAGATTCAAAAATAGTGCGAAGATCAAAAAACCTTAAATAAGTTGATATAATAGAAAAAAATGGATGGAAGATAAAAATGAAAGTGTAATAATGATAGATAGCAAAAATAAATACAGAGAATTGAAAAAAATGCTTTTAGAAGAACATCAGAGGGGCAAGAATTAAATGGTTAGAGAATGAATGCAAAGAAATAGAGAAATTGGAAAAATAGAGAGGTATGACATTTATGATAAGGTTAAAAATTGATGAGAGAAGAATCAGGGCATTTGAAATGTTGATATAGAGAAGAATGTTAAAAATAAGCTGGACTGATAAAATTAATAATTGTGAAGTGCCGGAAAGAACTCGCGAGAGAAGATAACTATTGAAGAAAACTATATATAAGGATATATAAAGATGGAATAATGAAAGAGGTTATCTGTATTAAATGCTTATTTCAGTTAGCTATCATTTAAATTTATCACCAAGGAGCATTTTCTTTCTTTATTAGGACAGCTTCAGCTTCTTGATGAACATCACTCACTGTTCAAACTAAATTTGAGCTTTCCAACTGTTTTTTAAGGTCAAACAATATTTAAAACTACATATTGTTCTAAATTTGTAAAAAAAAACTCCATGCAAGCACAGCATTAATCTTGCTTCTCTGCTGCTAAAAGTATTAACACCAAAATACTAACTTTTCACTCTTTGCTTACATCAAACTGCTTCACTCATTTTTGTCTTGTAAACATCTAATTATATCTTCCCAATTTCATGTTTGCATTACTCCAGTCAATCTTGTATCCAGTTCTATCAAGTCTTGTGAATTAATGATGTTAAGATGCTTTTTTACTATATAAATAAAACATTGTTCCAAAATCCTTGTTCTTAAATGCCATACCAGCTTCTAAGTATTATTGATGTTGTCTCCAACTTTCTTCTAAGTCTTTCTCTATGGCCCATTGTGTTAAAATTGTGCTGCTCATGGGGTATCAGGTAATGGATTTGAAATGCTCTTTAACCCCGAGATTCAGATCTACAAGTTGATCCTATGAAGAAAAAATTCCTTACTCCCTTTGCCAATCATATAGATTTTCAGCCTTTTCACTTCTTCTCTCTTCTCTTTGTCCATTTTAATTATCTGTATAATTGAGGGTAATCTTTTAATTACTATTTGGAAGTTATATTTTTTTTTTAATGGTGTTTGTTTACTAAAGATAATAATATGGAGCCAGAAACTTGCAAGGTAATATTTAATGAAAAGTATCATAGAAAATGTAATTGTGGGAGAGATAAAGAATAAAAATGATTGATGATCTAAAGGATGAAGGAACTTGAGAGAAATAGGGATGGTCAGAGAAGGATGAAGGTATTGCTCAATCTGCTTTTGGAGCAGAATACTGATGATGATGTAAAAGTCTTTACAATTGTTTCTAACACTATGTCAATAGCAATATCACACAGCAGAGTCAACTCTTATTTTGAGCCTCTTCTCACCTAAATATACAAAAATTGTCTAAGAAGCCCTCTAGTGGCAATACAATTTAAATTGTACTTCCACCAGAGGACCAATCTAAAAATAAAGATCAACTCCAAGTTGTTGCTGCTGTGGTGTTGGAAGGACAAGACCTTTGTGTTTCTTCTACAAGTTAATTTTATGGTATAAATTTATACCACTCAATTCTAAACTTTAAAAATAAATTCAGTTATATTACTTACTGTTTGGAAAATTTTACATTAAACTTTCTGGCAGATTGAACTGACTTTAAACTATAATAGATGCTTGCTTTAGATCCTAAATCTCTGTCTGTTAAGGTTATTAAAATGTTAAATTATAAATGTTATTAATAATCTAAGAATTCACATTTTGAGATTCAAATTTGATTTAAATTGTAATAGATGCTTGTTCTTAAAATTTAACCTCTGTTTATAATAAATATTGTCAGATGCACAACTTTATTAATCAGTAAAATGTTAAATAGACCTATAAATGCCATATAAGGCCATAATAGCCTTAATTTCTAACTTAATAAAATTTGATACAGAAATTTTATGACTGGAGGAGTGCTGCAGACATTTAAAATGCATATCAAAAATTAAATACCATTGTCACATCAGGTCATGTGTTGATCTTACCTTTTTCTGGAAGAGTAAACAAAGTAGAAAATGTGTAACTTAAAAATCAAACATTTGGAAAAACAATGAAGAAATATAAAATAAATTTATCTCCTATAAAATATTGTAACATCATTCTGTGTGTGAAAAGAATTGGTAAAATCATTTCTTTTGTGTACGTAAATTTATATTCAGTTTTATTTTAAAGTGAATCAAGGGAAAAATAGATTAAACAAAGTACTCACCTATAACCATAAAAGGTGCATCCTTCGTTTTTCTCGCTAACTTTTGGCCTCCCGATTCCTGATTGTAACTCGAAATATCTTCCAGGGAGTCTTTCATATTACTGGTCTTTTATTTTAAGGTAAACTGAAAATATATGAGTATTAATTTAAGTAAATGTACATTTTATTGCTCTTAGTGTTTTTGTTAGTAATTTTTACTAATACATAAATGGCAGCAGAATCTAGATCAACATGCTCATTTAATACACAAGAAAAATTTCCATTGCTTGAGAATATCAAAACATTCAGTTTGTGAATGAAAGGAAAATATAAATTTGTATTCTTCATTTTATTTTTGAATTAAATTTTTCTCATTCTTTTTCATTTCAAATATTTATATTTTGAAATGATGATAATATCTTTAATTACAATAAACACGCTTATCTCCTTATAATTATAGATGTTGTGCAATGTTATGTTTTGGATTTGCAAATTCTGATAAGTTAAAATACACTTATTTCTTATTTGCTTTACTGCAGTGATCTTGAAACCCAGACAAACCCATAACCGCTTGTTGAAAAGGCCTCTTACTGCATACAGGGTGAATAGAATTTAAAAAAAAAAAACTGATATATGTCTACAATTCCCAGATTTCTACAATTCAATTAAAAAAACAACACTAAAATAATGTGACAACTCTAACTTCACTCTACCTCAAAAAATCAAATTAGTTATAGTAACTAAAATAATATTCAAACATTCCAATTACATTTTGATTTAAAAGTTAGTTTTAGTTTTCATATAGACTATAAATATTTTCAACTTTTAGTTTAATTTAGAACTTAAAATATTTAACGGTAAACCATAGCTTTCAATGGTATACAAGGCTAGGCACATGCCTGCAATGGAAACCTGCCACTGCTATTATGAAATATGGGTATTGTAAAAAAAAATTTGCATCCTTTCTCTTTTCAATAAAGAAGAAAGACAGTTTAGCTATGGTTACTAGATAATCTGGTTTGGGAGCAGAGCAGAATTTCCTATCTATAGTCTATTTATCCTAACTTGGCACATACTGTAAACAAACTAAGACACACCCCCTTTGTTTATTAGCTTAAACCCACGTCCATCAATTAGAAACCACGTTGCATCTCATTCGTCCGCAGAAAATAATAGTTCTTCGTTATTTATAAAATCATTAATGAAATACTAGTCACTTAGCAATCATTATAAGTGTAATTATATCAATTATAAGTGTAATTATATCAATTATAAGTGTAATTATATCATACTTGTTAAATTGTTATTTTAATAAATATTTGCACATTCTGAATCACTAAACAAACTTTTTCCGGTCATGCGCACTATGTCGTCTTGGTGTCGTTTTCCACTCATTACAATAACTATCATTATTTCAAACTGTGTGTTGTCGAACAAATAACTGGAGAAAGATGGAGAAAATGTATCGAGCATATAGAAAAAGAACAGCAAATGTGGAACAATGAATTATGAGATTTTGGAAACTGTTGTAGAAAAACTGATTATTCAGTCAAACACAAGTAGTGACAAGTGATATAAATGATTAAATTAAGCAACTATCTTCTGATACAGACGATTAATAAGGTAATTTGTCACTGTAATTACTTTAAAAATTTTTTAATTATATAAATATCACAGATAAATTCATACATTACTGTAATGTTTTCCTTCAGAGGTTTGAGTATGATTTTTAAGGATTGCCACAGAATTTGTTTCGTTTTATATCTATTTAATAAAATAGTTGTGTAGATGAAAATTCTGAAGTACGTTCAACTACACAATTATAAATATGTTTTGTGCAAGTCTTAATAATATATATTTAATAATAATTTTTAACAAACTATATTTAAACAATGGAAGTAATTTAAACATCTATGTAAAAATGTTAAAGTAGGCTGTAATAAGTTTTCTAAGTACAGTAGATCCCCCCTATAACGTGGGTTCATATAATGCAGATTTGTATATCGTGGCGAAAAAATTGCGACCGCATTCATATAAAGACTCTAAGAGAGACACCTAAAATGCAGTAAAACGTCATCGCAGACTCGTGTTGCGACAGGATTGGTCGAATTTGGACCAATAGTGGACGAGTAGCCGAATTACTTACATGCTACGGACAGTTTAGGCGGTAAGTTGAGTTTACTATCGTCTGTACAGTATATAAATTAGGTACCATAAGTCTAATACAGTACTGTAATTTTATACATTTCTTGTGAAAAAAACATTTCTTATTCAACATTCATAAAAATTATTTCTATTAATGATGTCTCCAAAGTTCAACGAATTTTTCACAGAAAAATAACTTATCAGAAAACGCGGCTGCTGTTTGGTGCGCCGCGACGAAAACAAGCTTAAGCAATGGCAACGTCGAACGGTGCACACTTGGTAAGTAATCCTACAATTTTTTGTTTATAGCATAGTTTATACGGATTATTTCCAAAAAATTATACATGTTTTGGAAATGTTGAGTCGAATTAGTCTAGAATCGATTAATTTTATGGAAGAAAACCTTTCAAACAGCCATAGTCCCTAAACTGCACACATGTCGGGCTGCGATTGGCTAATGTATTTAAGGATTCCTACAACATGAAATTCTTATAAAGTGGAACATATCTACTGCGTTATAGGGGGGGTCAACTGTATTACCTCGGTAATTTTTAAATTGTGACCACTCTGACCTACTTTAACATGTGCAGAGAAAGGGGCTTAACTGGTCAACATGTGTCTAGCCACTTCCAATTGTGATTTGACCAATAAAAATCTCTGGCAGATTAATACAACAAAACCTTTGTTTACAATAGGTGCCAAGTTACGATAAATAGACTATAGAGTCACTAGAAACACTGCAATTAGGATCCAGACAGAGTATATACAAAACGTATATAAAACTAATACATATAATACGTAACTAGACTTCTAAATATAAATTAAAACCTTTCTAGGTATATTTAAATTCAGAAAAAGTCTTTTTTCAAAATTGCAAGGCCATGTTCTCTAATAAATGACAAAAAGTTACATTTAATATGGCCTAAAAGTGCATGATGAATTTTTACTTTTGAAATAAAAAACATTACTTAAAAGATAAAAGCATTAAAGTTATTTACATCTTGATTACTTTAAAAATGCATGCATTTTATCCTTCACCAATAATAGTTTCCCATTTTTTTTAGTATTATAAAAAATTGGTAAAAATGATTTTCTAAATAAAAATTCAGAAGCTTCTGCAATATATATTTTCTCAATAGTCAAAAATAAATTATTACAAAATGATATCAATTCATTAATAATTAATACAATTAATCCATAAGAATAAAATTTTCATATAGAATAATTTATGAAAGCTTTTGAGTTATATTGTAAACTTAAGTTGAACATAGACTTACATAGAATAAAGACATCCTACACAACTATGTATCCCCGCGTTTCTTTATACAGCGAGAGTGTAGCAAAATGACGTCACAAGCAGTGTTGGGCAATTAGAAACTAGCTTCAGTGTGTTTGCTGTAAAGCGCTTCTCAAGCGCTGCATAAAGAAACGTGGGATATTATTTTGCTATTTCATTAGTTAAACAGAGCAGTTCATCCATAATTTTTCAATCTCTGGATTTTTCCAGACTTTAAGTCTGGAAAAATCCAGAGATTGAAAAATTAATTGAGCTTATATGAACAAAAAAATTATTGAAACAGGGCAATACAAGGAATAAAGATTAGAAAAATTTTATCACTCCACTGGCTTACTCTATAACACCAAAATTCCATGGGTGATCAGTTTCAACTGTTAAAAACTATACTGATGACATACAAATCAAAAAGGACGAAAATATTCTTTAAAGAGAAAAATGACATCTTTAACCGATAAGTTACAAATGATCTCAAATATAAAAAGAATATTGATGAAAAATTCAAAGAAAAAAGTTAACACATATACATTACACTGTTTTATTAAACCAGGCAATAGAAAAAAAAATTCAAGTTTTTATAACAAATCAGAATTTTATACAAAAACTCTCCTTAACATTTATCATATTAATTTTTATGTCTAGGGCATTGTGGCTATTACACTACAGAGATGAAAGACACTACCGCACCTTAGATTCTGAGAATTATTACAGAAAAGCTGAAATCCAGGACAATGTTTGAAGGTAGTTCTCAAAACATTTCATTTTAAATTCACTAGTCAATGAGTACATGTTTATATTCAGAGCATACACTAGCCTAAAAATTTTTAGTCATGGTGACTTGTTAAGTTTGTAAATGTGAGTAAACTTGAGTAATCAAAAACTGTCAGTCAGTCAGTTTAAAAAATGCATTTATTGTGTACTTTGTACATCATTACAAGTTGAAATATATTGCAGATATTACAACTGTTAAAAAATACTTATAAATAAGACTCAGAGCGGCTGTGTCCCATGGCCAAAATTGTTTTCCTTTGTGCCCATTTTGCACTAAATTTTGGAAAATTTTTGGCTAAGTTTATGTTGATATTTGCAATTTTAGTCATTTTTTACAGAAAAGTGAAAATTGTCCCAGAATTTGCCCACAATTGTTTTATGTATAAAAATATGTGTACACCTAAGCTTGTCAACTTTTGCCTAGAATTTATAAATCTAGGCATCTGGCAGCACTGATAAGACTTCAAGCACTTAAAGCTTACCTACCTGTCAATGAGGTTATGACTTTGCCAAGCCAATGTGGTAAGCCTACACTTGTTCAAGTCATGTACCGGTACACCTTAACCCAATGATGTAAACCCAACCAGTACATCTTAACCATAGTTGGTTAAGATGTACTGGTTGGGTTTACCACAATCTAACCATAGTTGGTTAGATTGTTGGCCACTCTTGCCATATAGCATTTGCATTGTTGATCTTGTACCCTTGCATACCAAATTACGGCACACCGATAGTTGCAATCTCAAATTTCGATGACTCACAAACTGACTCGCCAGTAAAAATGTTTCCAAAGACATAGAAATATTAAATTTGAGGAGTAAAAACTCAAGCAAGCAAATGCACTGATATTTTGATTTCAGCTGTTCTTTGAAAATTCAGTCTTAGGCCAAGACTCCACTAGCGTAACAACCTTCACCATAAAAATTTTTAATCACGTGACCTATTTGCATTTGGATTGCGGTGGAGGTCCGGCTAGCGAAGTTTTTACGGCGACGGTACTATCGAAGTTATAAAGACAATGATCATATTCTACGAGTTTTTTCTGTATTATAATTACAAATGTAGTAAAAATAATATCTTTACTTTCATATATTAACTTTTATTATCGTATTATTAATTAAGATAATATACAGCACTTATTAAGCTTAGCCTTTTTCATTATATACTCCTCTAAATTGAAGGATTTTCCTTTGGCCGTCCATATTGCGTGTTTTAGGCATCCATTATTATAATCGGAATACTTCTTGTCGTAGATACACGAATACTTTCGGATGTTTTTGATAAATCTTTCTAGATCTATTCTAGAGTAGCCACAAGGAAACAGACAAAAACTCATTTTCCACCATTTTAGCACCATGTCACAATGACCTAGATTTCACTGACTACTGATTGGTGGATGGTACCATTTTACAGCCGTATTCGCATCCAAAGTTGAACACTGCCCAACTCACTGCACAAAGTTGAACACTGCACAATCAGTTCCAAATGAGTGGATATCACAAAGTAATGACAACACACATTTTTGATTCACTTTTTCTGATTTAACATAGGATAGAGAGGAAAAACAACCTGTACGACCTGCTCGAGCGTAAAATATCAGGGTCACGTGATTAAAAGCTTTTACGGTGAGGGTTTTTACGGTAGTGGAGTCTTGGCCTTAGAATGCAAACATTCCATCCCAGATCTCAGGTGCTAATGAAAGGTCTATGGAGGTGACAAACATTTAAACTTTTTAATATCTTCACTGCTGGAGTGAGGTTTGTACATTTTTTTTTTATTTTTTTGTTTTGTAAAGCTATTGATTTGGCAATGGAAAAATTAATTAATAGAAATTATACTATTCAATAGACTGGTTATTCATTTCCCAACATCTGGTCTCATCATATGCATCCAATAAGATACATTCCTACGAAACTGGGCACACTTGATATCATTAAAGGTTTGGTCTGACACAGTTAAAGTTAAAGTAGCCACTAGTTAAATTAATGAAGCAAGCAAGACACTTAACAGTGGATAAAACTTCAGAAATGCTGACATTTTTGACCCAGTTAAACCATCCTCAGATAGGACAGACCTAAGAATGCTAGTGTAGATATCCAGCACCAGCTACTCTTACATTCATTTATACCCGAAGACAGCCTGTTTGATTTAATAAGTTATGTTTTATCTTAGAATAAATGCCAGCATAAAATTTGTAATTATAATGTTAAAATATTGTCACTACAGCAATAAAACGTTCCAAGTTGAAACATTTGATACAAAATTTACTCCATCAATACATTCATTCATAGAGTATGATTATTTTAAATTATTGGACAGTTATTTAATGAATTTATAACCTCTTATGATAATTTTTGGCAGTTCACAAATAACTAATTCACAATCAGTTTCAAATGAGTGGATATCACAAAGTAATGACACAACACACATTTTTTATTCACTTTTTCTGATTTAACATAGGATAGAGGAAAAACAACCTGTATTAAACAGTACCTATTTTTATCACTTTTTGTTTATTAGTAGGACTAGATACAATCTTCACAATTTTCCTTAGAAAATCAAGACACTGATAAAAGAAGGGCCTATTTTTGTATAATTTTATTTAAATTTAAATCTAATATATATATACAGCTATCCCCGTACAAGACATCCCTACAATACAGTTTTGCTCTAACAGTTCAAAAATTAGGGACATTCCCCATACAGCATGGTATTCTTACAATGTGATATGATTTTGCTCTAGCATGGTTTGAGATTTGGAGACATCTCATACAAAATGTCAGTTTCTAAGCACAAACAAATACTGGTCATTCAATATTCTTTTTATTCAAGTAAGCATGTTTGTCATCTCATATTTGCCCATGGAATGTTGAAATTTCTTTTGTTTCATGCGTTTCACTCTGTTTTCTCTAAAAAGAATTGACTATACAAGTTTTCTTCTTCCTTGCCTTAGCTTCTTATTCTAAATTTCCTATAAATTGGATGTGGTTGTCATTGCTGATAGGGCAACGACAACCAGTGCCATAAACGAACCAAAAGACCATCCCTGTGTTTTGTTTTATAGATTAAATTTAAAGTTACTGCATAAAACATTAAATTTTTAAAGAACTGTTATGCAAATACAAGCAAGTGAAAATATCAATTTATTATTAAAAAAAACAGAAAAAAATCAAGATGTTGCCAATACTTCAGATTAAAAGCAACATAAAAACTCAAAGTATTTCACTAAAAACAAAACATTTCTGTTTAACAGTATTTAGCAGTAAAGAAAAAAACGAAGATTAATGTTCAATACTTTCAATTGCGATTGTTAGTTGATTATCGATTGCTTTAATAAACACATTTCTCTTAATTACAAAAAAAAAATAGACTTTTGCCAACTTTCAGAACCTAACCCTATATTTTGTACATCACATATTTGCCTAACATGGCTCTTTTTTGGAACTTAGCTATAGAGTTATACGGGAATATCTGTAATAGATACAACCAACCCGATAATTACTACAAATATCAAACAAACCAACAGCACACTCAAGGGATGGGCCAAATGTCCACCGGCACCCAAAAAGTAACAGGAAAAGAAACATTAGTAAACTTTCCAAGAATATTTTCCTAATTAAAATTCATTTTTTTATTTATATCGTGTCGCTTGTTCTTTTCCTATAATACTTAAGTATCCAGTTCGTATTAAAATTTTTTTTCATTCATTCAATCAGTTTCCCCAAGATTAAATCTCGAGCTTGCCACCGAAACAAAAACAGCTCAATTCCTTTCGTAACAAAGAAATCCAGCCGTTCACCTAATATCTGTAGAATCTAAAATAGGATCTTTTATACACATTTTGCTTCTTAGAGGCAAAAACCAGACACTGGGTAAGACGACAATGCATTCAAAAAATGTCACCAAAGTCACAAACACCACGTGTTTTTTGTCCAGGTAAGGCATACGAACAAATACTACGAGGGATAGTGGGCCACCTACCATAATTCAGTAAGCGGCGAATGGGCACGAAAGAGGGGAGAAAATATCCCATTTAATGAAATTTATAATTTAAAAAGCCAACGAAATTGAATGATAAAATCAAACAGGCAGAATGGTCGAAAGTCGTGAAAGTAGAAGCATCAGTGGCATGGGTGATACCCTTGATTAGAATAGAAATTCGCGTATAATAGATTATATATATAGAATTTGTCACAATATTTCTACTTTTAGAAGATTAAATTAGCAGTTACCTTTATATTTAATACAATTTACACGACATTTCTTACTAAATACAAGCAATATCCGAGCACTCACCTCAACGACCTTCTCCACCGTTTGGATTCGGAGCCGAAAAAGATTAATTTTCTCTTCACGACGAATGACGAAATCGTATTTCTGACGTCGTTATGAGATCACGACTTACGCAATAATATTACATCACTAATGACGTAACGGAAATTTTTTAATTTTTAAAGTACAGTATTTATTTATTATATCCGAAAGTTTTTAATTTATATATACGTAAATGTTTTAATAAAATCTTTACAGATTATTGCTTGTTTTTAGATTTGAAAATTTATATAATACAGTATAATAAAAACATAATCGTATCTATATAATCTATTCGAATAAATTTATAAAATTTATCCGAATGGGATTGTCCGATTTAACATGGCGGCGGACACCGATTTAGCAGTTTAAACAATTTTAATATTTTAATTTTTCAAAATTTTATCGGGCATTTTTGTGACAATTCACGAATCACTTTAAGAAAAAAATTAGGTAATACAGTATATTAAAGAATATGTAAATGTAATTCATTGAGAGTTTAAAAATCGTGAAAAATTTCGCTTTACTTTGAAAGGAAGATAGGTTAATTGATACAGTCTCTAGGAAGCGTATATTGCATACATTTAGTGAAACGGATTGCTTCTTATTCGCAGAAGTTTACACAATTATATGATTATAAATAATATAAAATTCGAAATTTTTCGAAGACAATTTTACATTTTTTCCGATAAATTTTCTTACGCGTTATTATACTTTTTTTAAAACTCTTTCCATCCTGCGGGCACTAAGAGCGCCTCTTTTTGCAAGCCCATTATGGGTTCGGCCAGGCCCACAATGGGGCTGCCGGGTGGTGAGGGACGGGGCTCGGCATATCCGAACGGACCACCCCCGAAAAATTCCTGGGGATTTTTCGACCCGTTCAGATTCGAACCCGGGTCCCCCAGAGCGGTAGGCTGCCACCTTGACCGCTCGGCCATCCGGCCGCGCGTTATTATACTGTATCGGCTTATGCGCGGCCTTTTTTGATTGAATTGAGAAATAAAATATCATCTAAAAATTCGAATTGATTTTTTAAAATATTCGCAAATTATATATTCTTATTACGCTACTTAAAAGTGTATCTATCGGTCAGATGTTCGCGCAGTAAAGTATCTCCATGCAGCGATTACCATGGCAGTCTATCCGTCTGGAGGATTCGGATTCGATTTGCGATTCAATGCCTCCGAGAGGATTTCATATGCTTGTGTTACAGTAACCATACTTGGGCCAGTACAGTACTGCGTTCGCCACTAGTGGCCAAGGGAATCTGTGGCTGATTTTTCGAGCTTGACCTTCTGCTTAACCCGCCAACGCGACTTCGTTAACCAAGGCGACATCCAGGCCAGTATCATGCTGTGTACGTACGACAACCATACTTGTTTTTTTTCCACAGAAGTGGATATATTTATATACCTAAACTCGAGTGTTTATAGCTCACTGACATGACGAACAGACACTGTTTAGTAGCCTCGCTACTCTGTATCAGACGTTGCTTATGAGTCGCTCTTTGCTTCGTTTTTCCTTATAAACCTTATTGGCATGGGTGGCCTATTGGTAGCTTGTGTTCCTGCTGAAATTTCTGTATTGTTCGCTGGAACTTCTAAGCTCTCTAACCTCGACAACATGGTGGAAGGAGGTTCTGCCATTTTTGGTATTAATTATTACAGTGTTATAATTAATTAATAATGGCAAAAAATATGAAAGAATAAAACTCCGATAAATGAAATAATAATTATTTCAATACTTCAGTGCATTTATTGTTAATTCTCAGCATATTTTATACTGAATATATTAAATATACGTTTATTACATTATATAAATTACAAAAAAATACATATATATTTTTGAAAATAATAATATTTTTATTAATAAATTATTTACTTAAAAAGTAATTCGATACGCTTTAATTTTCATTGTGGTTTTATTAAAATTTTGAATTTATGATAATTCGGTTTCGTGGAACTGGCAACACTTAAAATCGCCTTCTAAGATGGCGTCCGCGTGGAGCATGGAAAAGAAACATTCGGATCGTGAAAGGTTTTTTGTTTGTTTATATATTCAATTATTTATATATTTGCAGTTACTATTGCCATTTATCAATAAATCCGAAGCTAAATTATTAAATTATGCTATTAATTTTTCTTTGATAAACTGTAGGGCTTCTCAAACAGAACCTGTCACGTAGCATATGTTTATATTGAATGGAATTCATCAGCTGTTCTGTCGAAATTTGTATCGAAATGTTTAAGATTGTTTCTAAAATATTTTTACACAAATTAATTCGTTATTAATACTGTAATTAAATCGGGAAGATTCTATCTCTGAACGAGGGGGGTCGACCCCCTTGGATTTGCAACCCCCCTTATTTAGAGCTGGAATATTACCATCAAATTGTTATTTATGGTCCTTGTTTAAATTGTGTATGGTGCATCCATTAATTATGTGTAAAGGTTTTGAGTCACTTTTCACCCCATCCCTTCCTGTTGTATATAATGATGATAAAATTGGTAAGACGCAAACTCTGACATTTGCCACCTCCCCAGAATTCTACACGCTCTGCAACAGTCAAGGTGAGCGATAGCAAATCTTAACCAAAGTCGTGTGCTTTGGTGTAAGAGATAGTATGCATCTCAGTACCCATGTGGTGCAAGCTCATGTAAAACTATATAACATCGAGTACTCCACGAACGGTCGAGTGGGCTACTCAAAGCCAGTATAGTCGTGTGGGCTGAATAGTTAAATGCAATAGTCTTAGTTGAGCACATGGAGTGACTCCCGATTACACCCTAGAAGTAGATTGATTTTGGAGCTATATCTCGCAAAGGATCACATGTAGAGATACAATTTCTTTGACTCTTGCTGCTAGGCTAAGATCCTTGCTGTCACTTTTGGCAAATCTCCTTCCCTTTAATTACATGCACAATAGTTCGCAAATTCTCCTGACTTAAAGAAATAATCTGCAAATATTTTATAACTGATAATTTATTTGTGTGACTAGTAAATAGCCTTATAAGAACAAATTAATTTATTGCTAATACTGCTTAAGTCCACATAGACACTTTTCTGTCTATTGTGTATAATGATGTCCTCTTTGCTACCATCTCTCTCCTTAAACTATATACATGATTAACGGCTGGCCTGTTATGGGCTCTAAACTGCTGCCTGACCGAATTGGGTAAATTTACTCCTCCTGTTTAGTCATCAATATAGGGTTATTTGTAAATCCGCAAAACATTTTAAAAAGTTTCATCATTCATAAACTACATAATCATCACGATATAACTGGTGTAGAATTCAATAAATAAATAAGCAATTACCTATAATATTCCAGATGTATATTCTGTCCCTATTTACGATCATAGGATGAACTGTCCTGGCAAATATATTGATGCTACTGCACGTTGTCTTAAAATAAGGATCAAGGAACATAAATACTCCATTCAAAAAGGTCTTTCCACTACAGCATTGGCTTCTTATGCCATTGATAATGATGTCAGGGTGGATTTTGATAATGCACGATTACTACAATGGTGTGAGGACTAGGCCAGCCTAAAATATCTTGAACAGCTGGAGATATTTAAAGCATTCAAGAAGTGAACAGCCATCAATTTTAAAGAAATGGACTCACTGGCAGCTGTGTGGAGGGCGTTTTTTGATGTAAAATAGATCGTCATTAAGTTTATCTTTATATATATATATATAAATGGACGTGTTTGTGCCTATATGTCACTCTGCAGCCAAAACTACACATCACACATGAATGGTGTTTGTGTGTGGTAATAGCCCCAAGTCTCCCATCGTTCACTATGGTGGTTGCATCTTGATAGCTATAAGGGTGTGAGAGATATGGGGTTTGAAAATGTGTGACGCTTCAATGAGAATGTTCCAGTTTTTTTTTAGAAAGTTCCAGAACCTAGAGATGAAATTTGGTGCACAGTTAGGGTATGTCATGAAAACGCACACTAAGAGGTGTTTTTTCGAAATTCCCCCACGGGGGAGAGGGAGAGCATTATAGCTTAACCTGAAGAACGACTTCTACTGTACTATTTTAGATTCAATTTTTTGTTTTTAGTTATGTTCAGTCTTCATCGAGTACTTAGGGGTATTAAATTGATAACATTTCAGATATTGTTATAAATATTTTTTATACAGTTGACCCCCCCTATAAGATCATAGATACATTCCATTTTTTAGGAATCCGATTTCTTACAAGTCGTTCCAATCACAGCCCGACACATGTAAAGTTTACGGACTATGGCTGATTGAAAGGTTTTCTTCCATTAAAATTAATCGATTCTAGACTAATCCGACTCAACATTTCCAAAATACATATATATTTTTTGGAAATAATCCGTATAAACTACACTATAAACAAAAAATTGTAGGATTACTTACCAAGTATGCACCATTCGACAACCCCATTGCTAAAGCTTGTTTTCGTCGCGAAGCAGCACACCAAACCACGACCGTTTTCTGATAACTTATTTTTCTGCGAAAACTTCGTCGAACTTCGGAGACATCATTAATATAAATAATTTTAATCGCCGTTGAATAAAAAATGTTTCTTTCACAAGAAATGTATAAAATTACAGTACTGTATTAGACTTACGGTACCTAATTTACATACTGTACAGACGATAGTAGGC